ACCAATTCCTAAGCGCCCAGTTCCTCGTTAGCCCGTCTGACTGAGTCGCCGGCTCCCACAGACCGCACGCTAAGCCAGTCTACTCGTGTCTGCCGGATCAGAGCTTTATTTGACTGAGATCACTCTATTGTCACGAATTCCGTGACATTAAATCGCCACTAGTCTGAATGTCGAGAGACCAGCTATCATTCTGATACCAAGGGACTCATTAGCGCGGTAAATGGCGTGCCTCATGAAAGACTGCTACGGCTGCTGGTTTTGGTTGTGTAAAGAACAAAAATGTTCCTATGAAAACTGCGGCATTCCATCTAAGATACCGCTGAAAACCAGCCTTTAATGTCTAGGTGCGCCTTGGCATTCCTTGCAAGCTATGTAAAATAGCCCACGCGGCAATGTCGTGCCGTTTTCACGTGTCACGACGTTCTCGTGACGACATATATAGAAGTCCATAAACATTGGTGCCGTGGACTGCCGGCGATACTCATTATCGCCACTTCATCTTTCGTGACCTCAGACCCATTTACATTACACTACATGTATTTACTCTGAAAACATGGGCACCGATGTTTGGAAAAAGTAAATATTTCACGTAAAAGTGCTATGTGTCGGCAGTGGTAATGCTAAAAATGATTTTGGGCAGCACATAACTAGTCCAGCGAAGGTGTAAATACAGAAGTAATTTAGTGATGGGAAAACAGGCGATGAATATAAGAACGACAAAAAACGTCTAAGCGACATGCGTCCCATCTCACCTATCATGCGTGCCGGGAACATGGGGGAGGGGGAGGGAGCACTCCGACCTTGATCGTGGTGGCCTCGTATCCCGCTCCGTGGCACACTATGTTATAATATTAAATGAAGTTAGGGTGAATCATCGTGAATTACAACAGCCATACTTGGAAGACAGAGAAGAAGTTATAATGAGATTTCTATTTGATAAGGAAAGAAGGAATATGGAAGAAAAGAAACAGATTTTGTACAGCATGTGGACCCTAAGAACTAAAAGGCAAAAAGAGCTCAATACTTGTTAAGCACCCCGTACCAACTCATAGCGCGATAGTTTAAGTTAAAGTTTAAAAAGAAAAGGAGGAGCCGTTGCAAAGGCAATTCCTCAAAACCGTCAAGTTCAAGTTCAAGTACTAACGGCACAGCACAGTCCGTCACACAGGCACACCCCTCCCCACTGCCAGTAGCCAACAATGGCTCATTTATTCGAGCACGCGCCGCCGCCACAGGACACGACAGAGCGGCGGCCGGCGGCCGGCCGGGCCGGGACAGTGCTGCCAGGACCTGGTGCAGGACAGGGGTGGAAGAGCGGTTCCTGGACATATTCAGTGTCGTCGTGAAGTAGTGGTGTAAAGATTCGGTCAGTTGTTGCAGACAGCACAAGTGTTGTCGCGGAGGTAGATGTTGCTAAGTGGTTTTGATACATTTCCGTGACTTAAGAGCCAGGCAGTGTGTAGATGTGATGATAAATAACTAGTCTGGTTAAGTCATGCGACGTCGCGCCAGTCTGAAAATGTGGTGCTTTGTGCCTGCCGGGGCTGGTCCCGTCGAGACAGTCGTCCAGAAGTACGGGTAAGCGACGGGACGGGTCCCGCCCACGTGTTACCACCGGCACACGGGACGGGCCACGCCCACCCCTGGATCGGCCCCGCCCACTGATGTGTCCGCTGCTGGCACAGGACGAGCCCGCCTACCCTTTATGTGGCCCAGCCCAGTCCTGTATATGTTGTCACTTTTCCACCCACCCTGTGCCCTCCGTCATAGGAGAGGGTCCCGTCCATTCCTGTGTCCACCGTCACATAACCAGACACCCCTGTGTTCACCGTCACTGTAGCTATGAGTCACGATAGTGACGCGATGGCCTGGAGGATCGCTCCCCGCTCTGGCACGAGGCAGGCGGCCTGTGTTTATTTTCACAGACGCGACATGACTGATACGTAACGAACTCCGAGGGGCTGTAGGATAACAAAATCGGGCCGCAGGGATCGTTAAAAAGACCGACGTGACCAAGTTTGGTGAAAGGTTCCTGAGTTGGATGATTCACGAGTCTGGCGTCTCTTCGTTATGACCATAACAATTTCTAAAACACTCTAGGCTGACATCATTTACGAAGAAGGGAGACCAACTTTGTCCGGCAAATACGGTTAAGTCCGATCAGTCGCGGCTTTCGATTCCTTGTTACCATGGACATTGGACAAGCATGAACCATGATTGCAGTTCTTTCGCCGACTGCAGCTCTGAGCGTTACAATACATGGGTCGTTTGGTCTCTTGCGCTGAAAACGAGCTGTCAGCACCGGCTGCACCTTCTTCTAGGAACTATAATAACTCGGGGTGACTCCATAATGAGTCAGAGTCAGTGCAGTTGGAGTCGCTCCAACTGTAGCCGCCGTGACTCGTGGGAAGGGTGGAAGGCTCCGGCTGTGCTTGATCAGGGCTCTGCACTCCTCCCTTATGTCGTGCTGATTGTTGCGTCTGCATGCTATGATGCGTCCTGTGTGGTTGCAGATGCTGATAGAATGAGGTTTGCACACCACCAGACAGGGTATTAGGGAGTGAGAGGGACTGCGTAGGCCAGACAGGGGAGAGGGGGGGGCATGGGTGGAGGTCAGACATGCAAGGGTCAGATATAGGTCAGACAGGGTAGAGAAAAGACTTATATGCTGAGTTGCCTCGGAGAGGGGAGGACTAGATATAGCCTCGGGAAGATACAGACACGGACAGGTCCGAAAGGGGAAAGGGAACGATAAAACAAACACAAATCACTGGCACGATCGGTGAGCCATCCAGGGAGAGCACGGACGCGACTTCAATCATACATAGAGGAAATCCGACAAACGTTTGACTGAAAAGGAGAGACTCTCTCACAAGAAGTCAGGAAGAAAAGTGAGCAAAAACTAAAACACGCTAATACTGGAGATGAGAAAGAAGAGGCGGGATTTCCCATTCGAGCAGTCAGCCAGTGGTAGTTTTTGGCAGAGGCTGCCTTCTGAGGCCGTCCAGTCGGTCCGCCCCGGCCTTGTTTGGCGACGCTCCGGTGATGAAGCGATACTGTCGGCTGAGACGGCGGCACTGGGCGGCCGAGACCTGGCCGCCCCCGCCGCCGCCCCCGCCAATACAAAAACCAGCCAGCGTGGGCGGGGCAGAGTACCAGGGCGACTAAGCCCCCTGTGTTGTTGCTTTTCCAGGCCACACAAATGAGGTGGTAACAGCTCTCATGTGGCGCGGTTGATGAGATAACAGAGGAAATGTGGCCTGAGTATGGGCTTATTCTGTTATGTTGAGTTTAGGACCTAACACCGGTTCATGATACCTACTCAAAGGCTTATTTTATTATCGAAACATTGAATAAACTGCTTGGAAGTTGAACTCCTTCATAAAATCGCAAAGAAGGTTGAGTGATAGATGTTCATCGATGGATGACACTTATCCAATCAAAGTTTTTAGCAAATAAAACTAATGTAACAAAATTATCATCCTCGAAAAATCGGACTACCATACATATCACACCCCACGCCCACCCTACCATATTGTCGTCGCCGTCACTGATAGTCGGAAAGGGCGGGGCCGCGGCGCCCGACTGGCGGATGAGTCACGGTTACACCGGTGCACAAAGGTGACTCTATCCCGTCCCAGCGATTTACTGTGACCAAATTCAACGACCTGAAGTGGGCTCTATTGCAGCTTAGCATTACCCTTTTTAGTTTGGTTTCATCTTCGAATGTGGCCTGCCCTCCGCACCTAGAGAAAGGGTTCGGAACATATGAATGTGTGTTGTTCAGCCTCGCCGCCGCTAGTTACGCAGGGCTCGGGTCGCTAGTTCGTGCGACCCGACACCGGGTTACGGCATCGTGGGCAATGCTCACACTGGTCCATTTCGAAACATGACGGGACGGGATAGCACGTTACATCACCGAAAGGGGTATGCAGTAGACAAACAGGCTACAACACAATAAACCCAGCATAATGAAAAACGTTTGGCGCTCGGGGACGATATTGTAGTTTGGCGCACTACGCCAATAAACATAGTTAGTTGCTTTCGTGATCATTATTGATAATTTTTTTATTCACAGCAAGCACCGGTGTCCGCACACGGCGATGAACACGCACACGTCGCACGTGCAGGAGTGTCTGGAGACGAGCAGCTCGAGCTCCATGCAGGAGGCCTCCTCTCAGTTCACCACCACCACCAGGTGAGGACAGATATCGGCTGGTCGCCAGCACTCCGCCTGGAGCGTCACACATGACAGGAGAGAGCGAAAGAACAATTAACGATACATTACTATAACCCGGTGTTCTGGAATAATGGTTATCTGACAATACTTACTGGCTCTTTAAAGGTAGTGTGCCAGCTTTCCTGGACCGTATGGAGTTAATGGCCCAGATAAGGAGAACCGGATTTTTAGAACTTATCCATACCTTCAAAACTCATGGAAACGTCTTAAATTCTTCAAATTTTGAGTACCCCAGTGCGAAATTCGCCCCGACGGGTTGTCGGTCGTACCCCAACCACATTTCACACCACTATGAACAATAAATGCACACACTGAAATCGCTATTACCGATATGCTCATCCAATCAAGTTTCGATAAACCCGTTCATCATCATCTCCTGCGGTTTCGAACACGCCTGTTAGGTGGTGCGGTAGACCGCGCCCAAAGCCAGGGCCCCGGTAACGTGAGGTAGCCGAGTCGGGGCAGCGTGCGCTGACCCAAGCCGGGGCCGCGCGTCCTCCCGGTGTCATGTGATAGCCCGGGGGATGCGGTAGACCGCGCCCAAAGCTGCGGCCCCGGCTTGGGTCAGCGCACGCTGCCCCGACTCGGCTACCTCACGTTACCGGCAGGCCCATGTCACTCCACTTTTGATGACATCATATGGGGGCCTCAGGACAATAATGGCGCGGCGCGCCACAATCGCTTCAAAGCTACTTGAATGGCTACTTGCCAACAGTTGCCATTTTTGAAAATATTATTTTGAAATAAAGTTCCAAGTAATAAAAATATTGTAATAAAGTTGTTGTATAAATTGATACCATATCTAAAAACTTGCTGAAAAATGATTTATTCATAGTAAAAATATAAGCTCGATGCGTTTTTACGTTGCTTTCCTGCAACTGCAGAGGGTTTTCAAATCGTCCATATCTTCAAAACCGGCCATTTCTTAGCATATTGCTGCTCTTTTTTATTGCTAGAAAATTAGTTTGACTTTCCAATGACATCAATGGTTGAGCGAAATAAGTAGAGTGTCACCAACAATCTTCAAATGAAGTAAGTCATTTTTACGTTGTAAAGGAATGGAGTACCCCTTTCGAGCATCAGGGGTGACGTCACTCAGGATCTGTCTCTGATTGGTCGGCGGGGGAGTGACTGTACCTTCTATAGATGGCCTTGGTTACCGGGGCCCTGGCTTTGGGCGCGGCTTCTGCTCATACTTTGTGGTGCGGTGGTGGTGCGTCGGGCCGCGCGCTCTGACTTCGGCCAAGAAAAATGCGTCAGCTGATCATTGTCATTTCTGCCACTTGCGTGTGGTGAAATGGGGTCATAACTTAAGAGACGGCTTTTTCATATCAATTATTTTACATAAAATCATATTTCAAACCATAAATAATGTTCGACAGCCAAATAAAAGAAACAATACCAATACAGGCTTACAGTTTAAGGCTCGACATTGTGTTGTCTACGATTAGACAGCTGATAACTCATTCCCGTACGTCGTAACTCTATAATGACCTTTGCTTATTGTCACATGTGCGCCGCATTCGCGATTGTTGCCGACGCCTGTTTGCAGCTCAGCCCACTACAGTTGTTATACATATCGAAAAACCGATAAACTTTTAGGCGAAAAAGGCACTATTCCAGGCCCATTTTTGATTTTTTTTTGCGATATTAGGTAAAAACAGAAGCTTCTTATCCTAGGAAAAATAAAATGGGAAATCTTTCAAAGGTGGCACACTACCTTTAAGGACAACTAATGAATCGTAACAGCCAAAAAAATTCCTTGGATTGCATAACATCGGTTAAGAGCTAATCCTATAACATCTCCAATTATAACACTGTTATAATGCCGGTTACATTTTCTGGATTTTAACTCCGTTCAGGAATTTGTCCGTATGCTCGCACTAACGGTATGTCTCACCGCTAAGCACTTCTGTTCATATGTCTGCGTGCGTGTGTCTGCAGAGAGGCGTACACTGCCAAAGCTGGTGAACATGTCTCCCGGGAGCACCTGATCAGGTAACTAACAGAAACTCCATCCAAAGCGTCCCTGGCGCAGTGGCATGGTACCTATGTGTTCAATTAGATATAATAGCAAAAACGACGAATATGAAGACGATAATAAATTTAATTATTACTTATGGCTATCACTTTAACCCATCTTAATTGAGCTACAATGTAGCTGCGCACGATATATTTTAGACATTTGCGGTAATGGTAGCAGCATCGTTAGGGGTTAACGTATCGCTATGGCGGCTCATCAACATTAATATCTGATGTCGGAGGCCGCCAGGACCACCACGCCGTGGTGTTTCTGTTGTCATTTGGCAGGGATCGATGGGGCGCGCGTCCCCAGTTACGGCCTTGGTGTCGCATATTTTCGCTCAGGATCCTCCTGTGTGGTTGGCTAATAAAGGAGCTTGGCCACAAAGCTTCAGTACGTCGTGCTGCGAGGTTGTGCTCGGTGTGTGCTCGAATGCAAAGAGTGAGAAGACTAGTGTGAACTCTCACATTCGGCTAATTTAGCAGTGGAAACTCTCACAAAAAGTACTTGTATGTTAGTGTCTACGAGCTGAATTACTGTATGGGTCGACTGCTAACGTCTGTTCTTCCAACGCAGGACTGCCGCCGAGGACCACCTGCGTGTGGAAGGTGACTTCCTGGGCCGTTCCCTGACCAAGGAGGCGTACCAGGGCCATCATCCAACGCAGCAGCTCCTGCCGGCCGGATCGGCAGCCACCAATGGTGAGTGATATAGGCTCGGCATCCACCAACCGCGATTCAACCAACTGACGACTGCACCCTTCCTCAAACAATCGCCGGCTCAACATCCACCCATGGTGAATGTTGGCACTGGCCGAAATGTTGTTTGCCTTTCATGTGACGAGGTTGGAAAGGTAATCTACCATCGTTGACAGTGCTACTACACGTAACGATTTTTTTTTTCACTCAGATGCGTGTGTATATAGTTTCTCCTTCCCATTCCTTGTTATTTTCATTTTTGTTACTAAATCTTATAGGCCCAATTAATGTTTTTCTATGTTTTCTTTTTGTTCTCCAGTTTCATCCTATGAGCAGTCCCAGATGTCATCATCGGAGTTCATGTCTCAAGAAAAGATGGAAATGAGTAAGTAAACTGTTTCGTTTTGCACTTCCCCTTTCATAATCGTCTTTACGCGCATGCAATGTTTTTACGCAGTCTCAGCAGGCTGTGTTTTATTTTGTAACAATATGTTTTATTATCGTAGTATATGTATTCCTTAGCGAAATGAAAATAGATATTATTTTCATACATCTTACAAAGTGTACATACATCTTACAAATTTTGCTCACACGTTTCAACATTAGAATTATATCCCGCCGCCTGAAAACGGCGTCAGAGGTGATGTGTGTAACGAGTGGCGTTTGTGTCATCAGGCGAGTCGACGTCCCGCTCCCAGTACCAGTCGGTCACCGCCGGGGAGCGCGCTGAGATAGTCCGTCACGAGGACAACCTCCGGCTCGAGGGGCAATTCCAGGGTGAGTTGGAGACCGCCTCAGAGCCGAGCTCTACACCGCTCGGCCGTTGGACTCGAGTACCTTGGTCACGGAGCCCTAGTTGAGTGGTGGCCTGGTGGGTAAATAGAAGGTTAAGGTACACTAACCAATAACCAGACTACCGTGCTGCCATTGTACCATAAACTAACCCAGCTGATGCTGATTGGTGCCGGTGACCCTATGTTGTATGGCAGTAGTGAAGTCTAGACTAGCTATGCTGTTGTAACCATAATAACCCGGATTTACCCTGGTGACGGCACCACAGCCCTAGAACCCTGCGGTACTGCACGCGCACTGTGTACCATACGTTGAACCTGCACTCGAAGCGCGGCGGCCATCGTCCGTTATCTAACTAACCTCTTTCTCCCAGCCGCTGCTGACCTAGCCACACGCCTCCCACTAACTCGCCTGCGCGTCGCTCTGTCCCGTCAGACTACGACACGATCGAGAAGCGATTTTACGGCCAGGGCTCGGGCGTCGAAAGTCAGTCCGTATACATCCCAACTCGATACAACTCGGCATCCAGCGGACCCCACAAATCTGGCCTGGAGGATAGCCTGGGACCCGGAGTGGCAGCCCCGCGGGGCGAAGGACTGGCGACTGGGACAGGCGGCTGGGCGGCCAAACTGCGGCACTCACCGGGTGGACACGCCAAAGCGCTGTACGAGGCCGCGCTGCCCCTACACCCTGAACCTCTGCAATCGGAGCTGGCGGAGGGCGACGGCGCGCGGCGGGCGCCGCTGCCGGAGCGACACCACGCGCCCGACTCGCACCTGAGGCCCGAGGGGGGCATGCAGCTGCTGTCCAGCTCGCAGGCTGACTTCCCGCCGCGTCAGGCGATCACGCCGACCCGCGCGCACCCGTCCGACCACCTGAGGCCGGAGGGCGAGCTGGCCGGCCGCAGCGCCACCCACAGCGCCTTCCAGCCGGCAGCCGGACAGCGGCCGCAGCTGCGTCAGCTCGACGAGCTGGGGTCGCCCCAGAGCTCCGACCAGCTGCGCATCATCCGGCCTGACATCCGCCGGAACCCCGACTCGCTCAGCCTGGCCGGAGAGGTGGAGCGCCTCAGTGCCGTGGGGGACCGTCAGAGGACCCTCTCCGGTAAGGGGACCCACTGCCCCAGCGAACCCCCCCCCCCCTCCTCTCAACCATCATCAAAGGGTCGCTCGCTGAAGCATGTCGGCGCTGTTGACAGAGAGCTTTGCATGCTTCCTTGCCTTGCACGGGCCATTACCCCACCCGATGTGGGAAAACGCCACTGGTATGCATGGCGAGTGATTTAGATTAGCACCCGTGGGAGATGGTTTTTCCTCATGCGCCGCTGCAATGCTGAAATATGTCCAAACAAGGTGAACGATTTTAATAACGAATCTTGCCGTAAATTGTAACGCTTGAAGCCACAATGGAAAGCATGTTTGTCGATGTTCTCTGATTTTCCCTGTAATGCATGATGCTACTTATATCAATAGTTCTGTCGTTTGTTCAGTGGGCGAATTAGTTGTTTGCAAATGCTCTCAGCCATAAGTTAATAGTGCATCTGCTGACTTCCTCCGTTTACAGATACCCGCGAGAGGACTGAGGTGGTTCGTGGGGAGAGGGCCGAGATCGTCCGCAGGCAGGATAACCTCCGCACCGAGGGCGACTTCCAGGGTAAGCTAACCCAACAACAGCCGGTCGCCATGGTGACATGAGGTTAATGAACATCGCTGCTTTCACTGATGAAGGTGGGAGGTCGCTTTTGTGTCATAGCGCTTTATTTATAAGGTGGTAATTATTATTGCGGTGGTGGCGTAATTCTGGGCAAATACCATGTGACCAGTAGCAGCTGGAGCTTTTTTTAGCCACAATAGAGCGAGGCTAATATCTGACCGCGCTTCGGACGGCAGGCTACCGCCAGGAGATGGCCACGGTGGGTGAGCGGGCCGAGGTGGTGCGCCGCGCCGACAACCTCCGGCTCGAGGGCGACTTTGTGGACGCGCGCGAGCGGCAGGCGCCCGGCCGTGGCGAGCGTGCTCCCGTGGTGCGCCATCCGGACCACCTGAGACAGACGGGAGAGTTCGCCGGTACGTCCCTGTCCGCAGAGCCAGCCCGAGGTCGCTGCACCGCATCCCCGACCTGCCCGCATGGAGGTGCCCAGTGTAGTGCTTGGGATGATGCGAAGGGTTTAGTTCTGTTCATAGAGAGAGTGGTAACGGCGTAATGCACATAGTTGCGTGAGTTTGCTAGCACTTTGTTTTCAGTTGGCTTGGCTTTGGTTTGGTGTTCGACGGAGCCTCTGAATAGCACAGAGGTCGCCACCGCGCTGCCTGCCTGTAGCTTGGTGTGTTGTAGCGCCGCTTGCTGTGTTGCCTCGCTGGGTCCGGGTCTGCCCCCGGCACAGCACTGATACCAGCCCGCCCGACTCCAGGTCAGTCGGTGACACACGCCTCCTACTGCGCCGTCCACGGTCACCGTTCGGTGGCGGTGCGCCACAACGACCAGCTTCACACAGCGCACAGCGAGCAGAGCTTCTGTACGTGACCGACCAGTGCAGTGGTCACACCTCCGCCGGCACGGTCCGACGGGGCGCGTCGGCTGTTGTAAACTCTCGGAACAGCTATGGCTGTGAAAAAAATTAATGAATTTAAAAGAGGTTATGTTATGGGAAATCGTTGCAAACGTAAAAGTTGCCTCTTTTCCCCAGTAAATGTTAACCAAATATGATACATTGGCGCGCTGTAAGTTGTTAACCCTCATTTGTCCCGTGTTGTTTGATCATCCCTCCCCCAGTCTCATACCTAGTTCTAATCTTAATCACCATGTCTGATAGTTAGTAACTGTGATGTTGATGTTTGCAGCCACCTCTTCTCACCATGACGACTTCGGCGCTCCGCACGGCGGCGAGCGACAGCCCATCGTTACGTTTCCGGACGAAATCCAGACCACTGGCGGCGAATTCATCGGTGAGTTCTCACGAGGAAGAGGGTTAACTCTAAACTTACTGATTGTTAAACATATACCAATGTATCAACAAACTTGCTGGCAAAGAACAATGACAATAAAACTAGGAAGACTTTTAATTTTGATAGGTATTTCTACAAGAAGCAATAATTGCTCAGCATGAGTCATTTATAAACCCGGTTAACGGTGAAGTTTTAGACAAAGAAGTGTTCTTGTTTCCGATAATTTGTATTATTCAAATCAAAGTTTTTCTTAAGATGCTAATTCTCTTTCCGAACGTCATTCTTGAGATAAATTCTTGTTTCTAAACGATAATTTTTGTTAAACGATGATATTAACAAGGTCATCATTTCCTTTGCAGACACTCGGGATCGCAGCGACGTGGTTCATCGCGGGGAGCGAGCTGACATCATCCGACGTGAGGACAACCTACGCATGGAGGGACAGTTTGAGGACACACGCGACAGAACCACCGTGCTTCGAGGGGAGCGAGCCGAAGTGGTGCGCCGTGAGGACAATCTCCGCATGGACGGGAAGTTCGAGGACACGCGTGAGCGAACTACCGTTATGCGTGGGGAGAGAGCAGAGATAGTTAGGCGGGAAGACAACCTACGCATGGACGGAAAGTTTGAAGACACTCGAGAGAGAACCACTGTGGTGCGTGGGGAGAGAGCACAAGTTGTCCGTCGTGAGGACAACTTACGAATGGACGGGACTTTCGAAGATACACGTGAAAGAACCACAGTCGTCCGTGGTGAGCGGGCTGACATCGTCCGTCGAGAGGACAACTTACGGATGGATGGCACGTTTGAAGGAAGACCTCGTGATGAAGCGCCGAGAGGGGAAAGGGCTCCAATAGTCCGATACCCGGACAGCATTAAGCTCGAAGGTGACTTCCCAGACAGAGAAAGAGAAGGGGCACCACGCGGAGAGCGTGCTCCCCGGGTAGCTCATCCAGACAATCTCCGGCCGGAAGGTGACTTCACAGGCAGGCCAAGAGAAGGGGCGCCCAAAGGTGAACGAGCTCCTATTGTGAAACACCCCGATAACATAAGACTAGAGGGCGATTTCTCTGACCGACCGAGGGAGGGAGCACCTCGAGGTGAGCGTGCACCTCGTGTCCCCCATCCGGACAATCTTCGTCCCGAAGGTGAATTCACTGACAGGCCAAGAGAAGGAGCCCCCAAAGGCGAACGTGCTCCTATTGTGAAGCATCCCGATAACATAAGGCTAGAGGGCGATTTCTCTGACCGACCGAGGGAGGGAGCACCTCGAGGTGAGCGAGCACCTCGTGTCCCTCATCCGGACAATCTGCGTCCTGAAGGTGAATTCACTGACAGGCCAAGAGAAGGAGCCCCCAAGGGCGAAAGAGCTCCAATTGTGAAGCATCCCGATAACATCAGACTAGAGGGTGACTTTGCTGACCGACCGAGGGAGGGAGCACCTCGAGGTGAGCGTGCTCCGCGGGTGGCTCATCCGGACAATCTGCGCCCGGAAGGTGATTTTGCTGACAGAGAAGAATACACACCCGGAAGAGGACAGCGAGCACCGATTGTGAAACACCCCGACCATCTGAAGATGGAGGGAGAGTTCTACGATCGTCCAGATCAGCAAGTTCCCAGAGGAGTGCATGCACCTGTAGTCGAACACCCAGACCACCTAAAGCTGGAAGGTGACTTTATCGATGGAAGAGAAAAGCACGTTCCCGGCAGAGGACAGCGTGCCCCGATTGTAAAGCACCCTGATCATCTGAAGCTGGAAGGAGAGTTCTACCAGCCACCAGATCAAGTCGTGCCGAAGGGGGTGCGAGCTCCTGTCGTAGAACATCCAGACCACCTAAAAATGGAGGGAGAGTTCACCGACGGCAGGGACCGCCACACGCCTGGTAGAGGACAGCGAGCACCGATCGTCAAGCATCCGGATCACTTACGTCCAGAGGGAGAGTTCGCTAAGAAGCCGCACGAGGAAGCTCCGATCGGTGAGCGTGCACCCGTGGTGAGGCACCCTGACCATCTGAAAATGGTCGGACAGTTCATTGACGAGCGTGACAAAACCGTCGTGCTGCATGGTGAGCGTGCTGATGTTGTACGCCGCGACGATCATCTGAAGATGGAAGGTCGTTTCGAGGACACAAGGGAATTTACGACTGTCACTCGCGGAGAAAGGGCTGAGATTGTGCGTAGGGAGGACAACCTTCGAACGGGAGGAGAGTTTGTTGACACCAGGGAACGAACCACTGTGACTCACGGCGAGAGAGCTGATATTATTCGTCGGGAGGATAATCTTAAAACAGAGGGACGGTTTGAGGACACGCGAGAGTACACTACTGTTACACGAGGTGAGCGTGCTGATATTGTCCGTAGAGAAGATAATTTGAGGATGCAAGGCGACTTCGTGGACACTAGAGAAAAGACTATGGTGACGCGTGGTGAAAGAGCCGATATAATACGAAGAGAAGACAATCTCAGAACAGAGGGGCGCTTTGAGGACACCAGGGAACTAACAACTGTCACAAGAGGAGAACGTGCAGATATCGTGCGTAGAGAGGACAATCTTCGAATGGAAGGTACTTTCGAAGAGCGCCCTCGTGGAGAAGCTCCCAGAGGCGAAAAGGTGCGTCCTATACGTCACGGCGACAACCTGCGTCCGGAGGGTGAATTCAGCGGGAAGCCATTAGAAGAGGCCCCTCGTGGAGAGCGAGCTCCTGTTGTCAAAAGACCAGACAACCTGCGACCCGAGGGTGATTTTACAGATCGGCCGAGAGGAGAGGCGCCGAAGGGTGAAAAGGCCACCCCATACAAGTATAGAGATAACCTCAAGCCTGAGGGAGACTTTGTGGGAAAACGTACAGAAGAAGCTCCTCGTGGTGAACGCGCACCTGTCGTAAAACATCCAGATCACTTACGAATGGAGGGACCATTTGAAGGTCGCCCTAATGAGGAGACACCTAGAGGTGAAAGGGCGACACCGTTCAAATACAGAGACAATTTGAAGCCAGAAGGAGAGTTCACTGATCGTCACCCCGAAGAGGTTCACAGAGGCGAGAGGGCCCCGGTCGTAAAAAGGCCAGATAATCTACGACCAGAAGGAGACTTCGTTGGTCGCCCAAGCGAAGAAGCTCCGAGGGGAGAAAGGGCCACTCCATACAAATACAGAGACAACTTGAGACCGGAAGGAGACTTCACTGATCGACGCCCAGAGGACGCTCCTAAAGGAGAAAGAGCGCCGGTTGTAAGGCGACCTGACAATCTTCGGCCCGAGGGAGACTTCACAGATCGACCTCGCGAGGAGGCACCCAAGGGAGAGAGAGCGACTCCCTACAAGTACAGAGATAACCTGAAGCCCGAAGGCGACTTTGCTGACCGTCGTCCAGAGGAGATTCATAGAGGAGAGCGAGCGCCAGTGGTGAAACGGCCCGACAACCTCCGGCCCGAGGGCGACTTCGAAGGTCGTCCACGTGAAGAGGCTCCGAAGGGCGACAGGGCTACTCCGTACAAGTACAGAGATAACCTAAGGCCCGAGGGAGACTTCACCGACCGTCGTCCGGAGGAGGCACCAAGGGGAGAGAGGGCTCCTGTTGTCAAGCGACCCGACAACCTTCGACCGGAAGGCGATTTTGAAGATCGTCCGCGCGGTGAGGCTCCCAAGGGCGAAAAAGTCACGCCATACAAATACAGAGACAACCTGAAGCCAGAGGGAGAGTTCATCGGCAAGCCAACTGAGGAAGCCCCAAGGGGAGAACGTGCTCCAGTTGTCAAAAGACCGGACAACTTGAGGCCAGAAGGAGCATTCGAAGACCGTCCTCGGGAAGAGGCGCCTCGTGGCGAGAAGGCATCTCCGTACAAATATCGGGACAACCTCAAGCCGGAGGGAGACTTTACTGGACGACCGACGGAGGAAGTACCTCGTGCAGAACGCGCTCCTGTTGTCAGAAGGGCTGATAATCTAACCATGGAGGGAGAGTTTGTCGACACGAGGGAACGAACCACAGTCACCCGAGGCGAACGAGCCGACATCGTTCGTCGTGAGGACAACCTGAGAACTGAGGGACGGTTTGAAGACACCCGAGAGTTCACCGCTGTGACCCGTGGCGAGCGGGCTGAAATCATCCGCAGAGAGGACAACCTTCACATGGAGGGTACCTTTGAAGATCGGCCACGAGGTGAGGCGCCGAGAGGAGAGAAAGTCCGTCCGATTCGTCACGACGACAACCTCCGTCCGGAGGGTGACTTTACCGACAGACCGCGGGGAGAAGTGCCTCGTGGAGAGCGGGCGCCCGTCGTCAAACATCCAGACCATCTCACGATGGAAGGAGATTTCGTTGGTAAGTGTTTATTTTAAAGTTGTTCTGCTAAGGTATATACTCGTTGACTGCAGTGCATACGCAGTCTGCTCAGCAAGAGTTGTATGTCAAGTCATCAAATGCCATTTAACTTTGAGCGTATTTTGTAAATGAATGAAATTTTGGGAGACTGTTTCAGAATATCGTAGGTCGCAAGATATCATGCTTGAATTAGCACGACTCAATCACACATGTATGAAGGGCTTCCTAATCCATGTAAGTAAAGCACTTCTTTCAACAAGTGCTTCCTGTGTCTGTTGCAGACACTCGTGAACACCGCACTCCAACGAAGGGCGAGCGTGCTCCTGTCGTACGTCGTCCGGACAACCTCCGACCGGAGGGTGATTTCCCGGACCGACCTCAGGACCAGGCGCCCAAGGGGGAGCGAGCCCCCGTGGTGCGCCGACCAGACAACCTCGTCATGGAGGGAGAGTTCATTGGTAAGTGGAGTTAGAGAAAGTAGCATTGCTAATTCTTTCTTTTAATTCTGTTGTATAAAAACACATGGATTCATGAGACATTAATAGTCGATCTTTAACCATTTTAACAAGTGTGCGGTGTTTGTACGTACGTTTAAACAGGATTACACGTCTAACATTTCTATCTGTTTAATTAACACATGCCAAATGCCAGAAAATGTGATATTTTACCTTGTAGAACGAAACTGTGTCCAAAGCCGGAAACAAAAGCTAAATTTATCTGCAAAAGAGCTCATTTTCACGCGTTTAGGAGTAATGGTGGAACGAAGAAAACTGATAAAAATAAGGGTTACGTTGCCACCTCCTTCCTCATGATCACTGAACACGGTTACCTACATATAGCCTGTAAAGCCCTGCTGAAAAATCATCAATGCTTATAGCCTAAATATAATACATTAAATGTCATCACGGAATACGGATGTTTCATTTACGGCTACTCAATTACAGATACATTTTTAGGTTGTTCATTAAACACCGTCATCAGAAACTTAAAAAAAATAATTGATCGCGTAACACATACCTGCAGAACTGATATTGAGGGACAAATTGAATTATGATTGGAAAACAATGGGAACGTTTTTGGGTTATATTACTTTAAGTCGGCTTAAGTAACTTAAAGTAAAGTAATTAAGTAGTGCCGACTTAAAGTAATATAACCCAAAAACGTTCCCATTGTTTTCCAATCATACCTGCAGAATATTACAAAGTACGAAAAGAGCAATAAATTTTCGCTTCAAAACCGATATGGTGATTCACCTAAAATGCAGTTGGTTATTTTTCATCAATGCGCATTTCAATTGGTATAGGCGGTTTGGTTTACTGATAAAATGTAGTGCTAACAAGTCTAATGTAGTTTTTCACGCTCCAGCATGATAAATGGTTATCTTACTCTAATAAGTACTAAAATGGTGTCAATATCTTTTGGAAGCCTCTCGGGCTTTTCAATAACGAGCATGCACTTACACAATGCATTAACCATCTTTTCAGATACTCGGGAAACGGTCAGCCCTGTGAGGGGCGAGCGAGCCCCCGTCGTTCGACGACCTGACAACCTTCGTCCAGAGGGAGAGTTCACCCCAAAACAGCAAGAGACTGCCCCTAAGGGTGAACGAGCACCTGTTGTAAAACACCCCGATCACCTAAAAATGGAGGGACCTTTCGAAGGCCGGCCTAATGAAGAGGCACCCCGTGGAGAAAAGGTTACTCCGTTCAAATACAGAGACAACCTACGACCAGAGGGAGAGTTCACCGGGAGGCCTAGCGAAGAAGCTCCTCGTGGTGAACGGGCACCTGTCGTAAAACATCCGGATCACTTGCGAATGGAGGGACCCTTCGAAGGACGCCCTAATGAGGAGGCACCTAGAGGTGAAAGGGCGACTCCGTTCAAATATAGAGACAATTTGAAGCCAGAAGGAGAGTTCACTGATCGTCGCCCCGAAGAGGTTCACAGAGGTGAAAGGGCCCCGGTCGTAAAAAGGCCACACAATCTACGACCAGAAGGAGACTTCGTTGGTCGCCCAAACGAAGAGGCTCCGAGGGGAGAAAGGGCCACTCCATACAAATACAGAGACAACTTGAGACCGGAAGGAGACTTCACTGATCGACGACCAGAGGACGCTCCTAAAGGAGAAAGAGCGCCGGTTGTAAGGCGACCTGACAATCTTCGACCCGAGGGAGACTTCACAGATCGACCTCGCGAGGAGGCACCCAAGGGAGAGAGAGCGACTCCCTACAAGTACAGAGATAACCTGAAGCCCGAAGGCGACTTTGCTGACCGTCGTCCAGAGGAGATTCATAGAGGAGAGCGAGCGCCAGTGGTGAAACGGCCCGACAACCTCCGGCCCGAGGGCGACTTCGAAGGTCGTCCACGTGAAGAGGCTCCCAAGGGCGACAGGGCTACTCCGTACAAGTACAGAGATAACCTAAGGCCCGAGGGAGACTTCACCGACCGTCGTCCGGAGGAGGCACCAAGGGGGGAGAGGGCTCCTGTTGTCAAGCGACCCGACAACCTTCGACCGGAAGGCGACTTTGAAGATCGTCCGCGCGGTGAGGCTCCCAAGGGCGAGAAAGTCACGCCATACAAATACAGAGACAACCTAAAGCCAGAAGGAGAGTTCATCGGCAAGCCAACTGAGGAAGCCCCGAGGGGAGAACGTGCTCCAGTTGTCAAACGACCGGACAACTTGAGGCCAGAGGGAGCTTTCGAAGACCGTCCTCGGGAAGAGGCGCCTCGTGGCGAGAAGGCATCTCCGTACAAATATCGGGACAACCTCAAGCCGGAGGGAGACTTTACTGGACGACCGACGGAGGAAGTACCTCGTGCAGAACGCTCTCCTGTTGTCAGAAGGGCTGATAATCTAATCATGGAGGGAGAGTTTGTCGACACAAGGGAGCGACACACAGTCACCCGAGGCGAACGAGCCGACATCGTTCGTCGTGAGGACAACCTGAGAACTGAGGGACGGTTTGAAGACACTCGAGAGTTAACCGCTGTGACCCGTGGCGAGCGGGCTGAAATCATCCGCAGAGAGGACAACCTTCACATGGAGGGTACCTTTGAAGATCGGCCACGAGGTGAGGCGCCGAGAGGAGAGAAAGTCCGTCCGATTCGTCACGACGACAACCTCCGTCCGGAGGGTGACTTTACCGACAGACCGCGGGGAGAAGTGCCTCGTGGAGAGCGGGCGCCTGTCGTCAAACATCCAGACCATCTCACGATGGAGGGAGATTTCGTCGGTAAGTATTTGATATAAAATGGAAGAAAACGTTTGGATGCATCTTGCAATATATACTTCACGTCAGATGCGTCCATTGCCTTAAAACATATTGTTTACCTGTTCTTACCTTTCAGTAGGTACATTGAATTGTCATGTGGGTGTACCAGTATATGTATAACTCTCGGAGTACATTGCAGCACCGTATACGATTAGTGTGATGTACGTTATGATTCAGATAGTCTAGCGTCACAAACATATCTCTCACCGCAATATACAGTATTTGTTTCAAGCATTCCTTCCTATCCTTGTCGTGTTGTAATGATGCAATTCTTTCAGCGATTGGGATTCCAAGGATAAATTCAGACGCGTTTCACCTGAGTAGGTACAACTCACTAGAAAGACACTTATGGCATGCATAACCCAAATTAGGGATCTATGTATCTATTTCTGGCGAAAGCACGTCTTCTCATAAAGTCACAAACTATTTTTAACGTCATTATTTAATATGTTACAGACACTCGTGAACACCGCACTCCAACGAAGGGCGAGCGTGCTCCCGTCGTACGTCGTCCGGACAACCTCCGACCGGAGGGTGATTTCCCGGACCGACCTCAGGACCAGGCGCCTAAGGGGGAGCGAGCCCCCGTGGTGCGCCGACCAGACAACCTCGTCATGGAGGGAGAGTTCATCGGTGAGTTTGAACTCATTTGAGCGCGACATCATGTGAAACTCATCAATTGTTGCTAATTTTTAATTGACCTAACTCCTATCCAGAGAGTGCTTGTAACACACTAACATCTCATTACCAACGTGATGTAGTAGATAAACCACAACTTGATATTAGACCATTACTGCGCAACGCGTGCATATACCTAACAAACCAACCTTGACTTATAATATAGCGTCATTTTCTTGTCATTAGCTTCACTGTCTTGTCATTTCTTCTTGTCATATAATATAACATCCATCTTCTTCTCCATGTCTCTTTCTTAAACTCTCTCTCTCTCTCTCTCTCTCTCTCTCTCTCTCTCTCTCTCTCTCTCTCTCTCTCTCTCTCTCTCTCTCTTTCTCTCGCGATTACTCTTCTCCGTCGATATATTTCCTTTCATACCAACTAACACTCAATCGTGCATGATTGCAGATACTCGAGACTTTGTAAGTCCACCCAAAGGCGAAAAAACTTCTCTTATCCGTCACCATGACAATCTGATACCAGAAGGAGAGTTTGCTGGTAGACCAATAGAAGAAGCTCCGAGAGGCGAGCGTGCAGCGGTTGTAAAGAGGCCTGACAACCTTAAATCAGAAGGAGACTTTGCCGGAAGACCAACAGAAGAAGCCCCAAGAGGCGAGCGTGCCCCTGTTGTAAGAAGGCCTGACAACCTCAAATCCGAAGGCGAGTTCGCCGGAAGACCAACAGAAGAAGCTCCAAGAGGTGAGCGTGCCGCTGTTGTAAAAAGGCCTGACAACCTCAAATCCGAAGGCGAGTTCACCGGAAGACCAACAGAAGAACCCCCAAGAGGCGAGCGTGCCCCTGTTGTAAGAAGGCCTGACAACCTCAAATCGGAGGGCGAGTTCGCCGGAAGACCAACAGAAGAAGCCCCAAGAGGCGAGCGTGCCCCTGTTGTAAAAAGGCCTGACAACCTCAAATCCGAAGGCGAGTTCGCCGGAAGACCAACAGAAGAAGCTCCAAGAGGCGAGCGTGCTCCAGTGGTAAGAAGGCCTGACAACCTCAAATCGGAAGGCGATTTCGCCGGAAGACCAACAGAAGAAGCTCCAAGAGGCGAACGTGCTGCGGTTGTAAGAAGGCCTGACAACCTCAAAGCCGAAGGCGAGTTCGCCGGAAGACCAACAGAAGAAGCTCCAAGAGGCAAGCGTGCTCCAGTGGTAAGAAGGCTTGACAACCTCAAATCAGAGGGAGAATTTGCTGGAAGACCAACAGAAGAAGCTCCGAGAGGCGAGCGTGCCCCTATTGTAAGAAGGTCTGACAACTTAAAATCGGAAGGCGATTTCGCCGGAAGACCAACAGAAGAAGCTCCAAGAGGCGAGCGTGCCCCTGTTGTAAGAAGGCCTGACAACCTCAAATCGGAAGGCGATTTCGCCGGAAGACCAACAGAAGAAGCTCCAAGAGGCGAGCGTGCTGCGGTTGTAAGAAGGCCTGACAACCTCAAAGCCGAAGGCGAGTTCGCCGGAAGACCAACAGAAGAAGCTCCCAGAGGCGAGCGTGCTCCAGTGGTAAGAAGGCCTGACAACCTCAAATCCGAAGGCGAGTTCGCCGGAAGACCAACAGAAGAAGCTCCAAGAGGCGAGCGTGCTCCAGTGGTAAGAAGGCCTGACAACCTCAAATCCGAAGGCGATTTCGCCGGAAGACCAACAGAAGAAGCTCCAAGAGGCGAACGTGCTGCGGTTGTAAGAAGGCCTGACAACCTCAAATCGGAAGGCGAGTTTGCTGGAAGACCAACAGAAGAAGCCCCGAGAGGCGAACGTGCTCCAGTGGTAAGAAGGCCTGACAACCTCAAATCGGAGGGCGATTTCGCCGGAAGACCAAGAGAAGAAGTTCCAAGAGGCGAGCGTGCACCAGTGGTAAGAAGGCCAGACAACCTCAAATCGGAAGGCGATTTCGCCGGAAGACCAACAGAAGAAGCCCCGAGAGGCGAGCGTGCCCCTGTTGTAAGAAGGCCTGACAACCTCAAATCCGAAGGCGAGTTCGCCGGAAGACAAACAGAAGAAGCTCCAAGAGGCGAGCGTGCTCCAGTGGTAAGAAGGCCTGACAACCTCAAATCGGAAGGCGATTTCGCCGGAAGACCAACAGAAGAAGCTCCAAGAGGCGAACGTGCTGCGGTTGTAAGAAGGCCTGACAACCTCAAATCGGAAGGCGATTTCGCCGGAAGACCAACAGAAGAAGCTCCAAGAGGCGAGCGTGCTGCGGTTGTAAGAAGGCCTGACAACCTCAAAGCCGAAGGCGAGTTCGCCGGAAGACCAACAGAAGAAGCTCCCAGAGGCGAGCGTGCTCCAGTGGTAAGAAGGCCTGACAACCTCAAATCCGAAGGCGAGTTCGCCGGAAGACCAACAGAAGAAGCTCCAAGAGGCGAGCGTGCTCCAGTGGTAAGAAGGCCTGACAACCTCAAATCCGAAGGCGATTTCGCCGGAAGACCAACAGAAGAAGCTCCAAGAGGCGAACGTGCTGCGGTTGTAAGAAGGCCTGACAACCTCAAATCGGAAGGCGAGTTTGCTGGAAGACCAACAGAAGAAGCCCCGAGAGGCGAACGTGCTCCAGTGGTAAGAAGGCCTGACAACCTCAAATCGGAGGGCGATTTCGCCGGAAGACCAAGAGAAGAAGTTCCAAGAGGCGAGCGTGCACCAGTGGTAAGAAGGCCAGACAACCTCAAATCGGAAGGCGATTTCGCCGGAAGACCAACAGAAGAAGCCCCGAGAGGCGAGCGTGCCCCTGTTGTAAGAAGGCCTGACAACCTCAAATCCGAAGGCGAGTTCGCCGGAAGACAAACAGAAGAAGCTCCAAGAGGCGAGCGTGCTCCAGTGGTAAGAAGGCCTGACAACCTCAAATCGGAAGGCGATTTCGCCGGAAGACCAACAGAAGAAGCTCCAAGAGGCGAACGTGCTGCGGTTGTAAGAAGGCCTGACAACCTCAAATCGGAAGGCGATTTCGCCGGAAGACCAACAGAAGAAGCCCCAAGAGGCGAGCGTGCCCCTGCTGTAAGAAGGCCTGACAACCTCAAATCGGAAGGCGATTTCGCCGGAAGACCAACAGAAGAAGCTCCCAGAGGCGAGCGTGCTCCAGTGGTGAGAAGGCCTGACAACCTCAAATCCGAAGGCGAGTTCGCCGGAAGACCAACAGAAGAAGCTCCAAGAGGCGAGCGTGCTCCAGTGGTAAGAAGGCCTGACAACCTCAAATCGGAAGGCGATTTCGCCGGAAGACCAACAGAAGAAGCTCCAAGAGGCGAACGTGCTGCGGTTGTAAGAAGGCCTGACAACCTCAAATCGGAAGGCGAGTTTGCTGGAAGACCAACAGAAGAAGCCCCGAGAGGCGAACGTGCTCCAGTGGTAAGAAAGCCTGACAACCTCAAATCGGAGGGCGATTTCGCCGGAAGACCAAGAGAAGAAGTTCCAAGAGGCGAGCGTGCACCAGTGGTAAGAAGGCCAGACAACCTCAAATTAGAAGGAGAGTTCGCTGAAAGACAAACAGAAGAAGCCCCAAGAGGCGAGCGTGCCCCTGTTGTAAGAAGGCCTGACAACCTCAAATCGGAAGGCGAGTTCGCCGGAAGACCAACAGAAGAAGCTCCCAGGGGCGAACGTGCTCCAGTGGTAAAAAGGCCTGACAACCTTAAATCGGAAGGCGATTTCGCTGGAAGACCAACAGAAGAAGCTCCAAGAGGCGAACGTGCTCCAGTGGTAAGAAGGTCTGACAACCTCAAACCAGAAGGAGAGTTTACTGGAAGACCAACAGAAGAAGCTCCAAGAGGCGAGCGTGCTCCAGTGGTAAGAAGGCCTGACAACCTCAAATCGGAAGGCGAGTTCGCCGGAAGACCAACAGAAGAAGCCCCGAGAGGTGAGCGTGCCCCTGTTGTAAGAAGGCCTGACAACCTCAAATCGGAAGGCGAGTTCGCCGGAAGACCAACAGAAGAAGCTCCAAGAGGCGAACGTGCTCCAGTGGTAAGAAGGCCTGATAACCTCAAATCAGAGGGGGAATTCGCCGGAAGACCAACAGAAGAAGCCCCGAGAGGCGAGCGTGCTCCAGTGGTAAGAAGATCTGACAACCTCAAATCAGAGGGGGAATTTGCCGGAAGACCAACAGAAGAAGCCCCGAGAGGTGAGCGTGCCGCTGTTGTAAAAAGGCCTGACAACCTCAAATCGGAGGGCGAATTCGCTGGAAGACAAACAGAAGAAGCTCCGAGAGGCGAGCGTGTCCCAGTGGTAAGAAGGCCTGACAACCTCAAATCAGAGGGAGATTTTGCCGGAAGACCAACAGAAGAAGCTCCAAGAGGCGAGCGTGCCCCTGTTGTGAGAAGGCCTGACAACCTCAAATCGGAAGGCGAGTTCGCCGGAAGACCAACAGAAGAAGCTCCAAGAGGCGAGCGTGCCCCTGTTGTAAGAAGGCCTGACAACCTCAAATCGGAAGGCGAGTTCGCCGGAAGACCAACAGAAGAAGCTCCCAGAGGCGAACGTGCTACAGTGGTAAGAAGGCCGGACAACCTCAAATCAGAGGGGGAATTTGCCGGAAGACAAACAGAGGAGGCTCCAGGGGGAGAGCGTGCTCTAATGATGAGAAGGCCTGACAACCTGAAGCCTGAGGGAGAGTTCACTGGAAGACCGAGAGAAGAGCGTGGTTCTGTTGAGCGTGGTCAAATGTTAGGTGACAGCGAACGTGCACGACCCATCAAACATTCGGACCATCTGATAACCAGTGGATCGTTTGAAGACAGAACAAGAGAGGAGTTCCCTGTCGTTGATAGAGCTATTGCAGTGAAACCTAAGGACATTCTGTATCCTGAGGGGACATTTGAAGGCAGGGTTTCCGGTGAAGCCGAACCTAGAGGAAACCGAGATTCAAACTACCAAATGCCAGACGATTCTCTTTCTGGGATGCATCCAGGTAAGGATACCCGCCTAACACACCTTTTGCCTATTGTTGTGGCTATTCTTTGCATGCATTCTATGAATCGAATCGTTGCTAGTATTCTTCACTATACTTCGCACTAGCTTGAACGAAGATAACTTACTAAATACCCACTGTGCTCGTGTGTGCTCTCTGCATGGCATTTACTGAATCAAACTAGGTTGTTTTTAATCCATACCTACAGTAGGTATAAGTGTTTCACTGTGAAGTGTTCAGAGGTAGATAGAAAACAGCAAGAGAGTTTTTGTTTTTGTTTCATTAGTTTTGCACTGTTACCTCATCGACACACAAAGAACGTGTTTTTTCTGCGAGCCAAAAAACCCGAGTGGAAATCCTAGCACAACATGTCTCCTGACCCATGTTTGGAAAGCCGCGGTGAGCGCTGCGTTATTCATCAGTTACGTCTGTGTGCCATCGGTCCCCCATAAGGCTGCCGATACTGCTGTGAGCACCATCTGCGACCCCGCTGCCTGTATCTGATGCGACGGCGAGCGACGGGCGCCGCGATACGCCCCCGTCTGCCCGTCACCCCTGGCCGGCGCCCGGGCGCCTGATCGACCGGCGGGCCGCCACGGCACTCGGTCGGCCAGACTGTGCGCGCGCAGCCCGGCACGAACACGCCCCGCAGACGCACCCCTGACACTGCATGTGGCACGTGCACGTTGCAGACACGCGTGAGACTCAGGTGTTGACGCGAGGCGAGCGTGCCGACGTCGTACGCCGCGAGGACACCCTGCGGATGACGGGAGAATTCACAGGTAAGTTTACCTGTATATGTTAGCTACTGCAATAGTAAATGTCATATGGTAACGTCAAAATTATTACGTTTAGAGCTTCACATTCTCGTGAAATCTTTATAAAATCCTCCCAAGTTGATCGCTGGAGCCGCATATTCAATATAGGTATAGCCATCTCTATAGGTGTTCGAATAATATTGTTCTCGGCGCATTCTTTTGAAAACTCTGTGACGAAGAGGCAGTTTTGAAATTTTACATTGTGATTTTATGGTTGGAATATGTTTTGTATACGGTTTGTCATGGCCCCTCCCTCAAAGCAAAACTTGAGGGACCATAATCAAAGCCGCCACAAAATAATTTATAAGACACACTTATAAATGCAACAAACCTAACATTCAACAGTAATGCAATTTAAAACATTTTTAATACATTTTCTTTTGATTTCTTCCCATGCAAAGAAAAATACCCAATTTTATAGTAAAATTGTCCCAACTTCAGTATTCGGACCTTTCAATGATATAGTTCCTTCACAGTTTCTAACATTCAGCCTTGAATAAGGCTAACTCGAGGCGACCTTACGTATTTCCAAAACAGATATCAATAAATACCAACAATGTCGCTTGCAATGCAATAATACGGCACATCAAAAGCCATAACATTAACATTTCATCTAAATCACAAACCCGTCTATTTAATTTCAACGGACGTAACATATAACATCATTGTTCGTTGATTGACGTAAAATTAAGCGCAAACTGACAAGCTGTGTATCGAATAAATGCACGCGAAAAATGCTACACATTTGACCGGACTCGCCCATATCCTTAGTATGTAAATATTCACGAAAAAACTGTAGGGGAGAGGAGGTAGATGGAATACATTTATATTTCATTAATCAGAACATCAACATATACAAAACAATGATCGCCAAATGGTGCAAAAGCATTTTTGCTTAAGTCGCAGCACCTCTCGGCTCTTACGTGCTCTCACCCGTAAGTAAGGAGGCTGCATTGATAACCTCTAGCCGGGAGGTTGAATCTCATTAAAGTTAATCAGTTTTCACAAAAAAATGCAGCTCTTATTATTCATGCACACACTCCCACCCTCAATGTTTCAGATACCCGAGAAAAGACGGTGTACACGCATGGGGAGCGTACTGACGTGGTACGCCGTGAGGACAACCTCCGCATGGAGGGGACATTCGAGGACCGACCACGGCAAGAGGCGCCGCGCGGTCAAAAGGCGCTCCCCTACAAGTACAACGACAACCTGCGACCTGAGGGCGAATTCACGGATCGTCGCCCTGAGGACGCGCCAAAGGGAGAGCGAGCGCCTGTGGTCCGACGTCCAGACAACCTCACTACAGAAGGAGAATTTGTGGACACTCGGGAGCAGTATACACCCGTGCGCGGAGACCGAGCACCAGTGGTCAAGCACCCTGATCATCTGAAGATGGATGGGAAGTTTGAAGACCGACCTCATGAGGCAGTACCGAGAGGCGAACGTGCTCCCGTAGTCAAACATCCAGACCACTTGAAGATGGAAGGGCAATTTGACGACCGCCCTCGAGAGGAGGCTCCGAAGGGTGAAAAGGCCAGGCCATACAAATACAACGACAACTTGAAGCCAGAAGGAGACTTCACCGACAGACGTCCCGAGGAAGCGCCTAAAGGAGAAAGGGCGCCTGTTGTCAGGAGACCCGACAACCTGCGACCAGAGGGAGTTTTCGAAGATCGTCCTCGCGGAGAAGCACCGAAAGGTGAGAAAGCAACACCATACAAGTACAGAGACAACCTGAAGCCAGAAGGAGAGTTTACTGATCGTCGCCCCGAGGACGCTCCAAAAGGAGAGAGGGCTCCTGTCGTCAAACGGCCCGACAACCTCCGGCCTGAGGGCGATTTCGAGGATCGCCCGCGAGGTGAGGCTCCTAAAGGTGAACGTGCAACCCCATACAAGTACAGGGACAATCTGAAGCCGGAAGGAGAATTCACAGATCGTCTCCCGGAGGAAATCCACAGGGGTGAGAGGGCTCCTGCGGTGAAACGGCCAGATAATCTGAGACCAGAGGGAGATTTTGTGGACCGTCCCCACGAGCAAGCACCAAAGGGCGAAAGGGCGACTCCATACAAGTACAGGGATAACCTGAAGCCAGAAGGCGACTTTACAGACCGCCGACCTGAGGATGCACCCAAGGGAGAGCGGGCCCCTGTTGTCAAGAGACCTGACAACCTTCGCCCGGAGGGCGATTTCCAAGACCGTCCTCGTGGTGAGGCTCCTAAGGGTGAGCGTGCAACGCCGTACAAGTACAGAGACAACCTGAAACCAGAAGGCGAGTTCACTGATCGACTCCCAGAAGAGGTTCACAGGGGTGAAAGAGCACCAGTTGTCAAACGACCCGATAACCTCCGCCCGGAAGGTGACTTTGAAGATCGTCCTCGTGGCGAGGCACCCAAGGGCGAACGAGCCACTCCTTACAAGTACAGGGACAACCTAAAGCCTGAGGGTGAGTTTGCTGATCGTCGACCTGAGGATGCACCTAAAGGCGAACGAGCCCCCGTTGTAAAGAGACCTGACAACTTAAGACCTGAAGGTAACTTTGAAAACCGTCCCAGAGAGGAAGCACCGAAGGGCGAACGAGCGACTCCTTATAAGTACAGGGACAATCTCAAACCCGAAGGCGAATTCACAGACCGTCTTCCCGAGGAAATTCACAGGGGCGAAAGAGCGCCAGTAGTAAAACGGCCAGACAATCTGAAGCCAGAAGGCGACTTTGCAGACCGTCCTCACGAAGAGGCCCCCAGGGGTGAACGGGCTACTCCTTACAAGTACAGGGATAACCTAAAACCCGAAGGTGACTTTACAGACCGCCGACCTGAGGATGCACCTAAGGGAGAGCGGGCCCCTGTTGTCAAGAGACCTGACAACCTTCGTCCTGAAGGAGACTTTGAAGATCGTCCCCGTGGCGAGGCTCCTAAAGGTGAGCGTGCAACGCCGTACAAGTACAGAGACAACCTGAAACCAGAAGGTGAGTTCACCGATCGACTCCCAGAAGAGGTTCACAGAGGTGAAAGAGCACCGGTTGTCAAACGACCCGACAACCTCCGCCCGGAGGGCGACTTCGAAGCTCGTCCTCGTGGCGAGGCTCCAAAGGGTGAACGGGCAACCCCATACAAGTACAGGGACAATCTTAAGCCTGAGGGAGAATTTGCTGGTCGCCGACCCGAGGACGCTCCAAAGGGAGAGAGGGCTCCTGTCGTCAAGCGGCCCGACAACCTCCGGCCTGAGGGCGATTTCGAGGATCGCCCGCGTGGTGAGGTTCCAAAGGGTGAACGTGCAACCCCATACAAGTATAGGGACAATCTAAAACCGGAAGGAGAATTCACAGATCGTCTCCCGGAGGAGGTCCACAGAGGTGAGAGAGCTCCTGTGGTGAAACGGCCAGATAATCTGAGACCAGAGGGAGATTTTGTGGACCGTCCTCACGAGCAAGCACCAAAAGGCGAAAGGGCGACTCCATACAAGTACAGGGATAACCTGAAGCCAGAAGGCGACTTTACAGACCGCCGACCTGAGGATGCACCCAAGGGAGAGCGGGCCCCTGTTGTCAAGAGACCTGACAACCTCCGCCCGGAGGGCGATTTCCAAGACCGTCCTCGTGGTGAGGCTCCTAAGGGTGAGCGTGCAACGCCATACAAGTACAGAGATAACCTGAAACCAGAAGGTGAGTTCACCGATCGACTCCCAGAAGAGGTTCACAGGGGTGAAAGAGCACCGGTTGTCAAACGACCCGATAACCTCCGCCCAGAGGGCGACTTTGAAGATCGCCCTCGTGGCGAGGCACCCAAGGGCGAACGAGCGACTCCTTACAAGTACAGGGACAACCTGAAGCCTGAGGGTGAGTTTACTGATCGTCGACCCGAAGAGATCCATAGAGGAGAGCGTGCTCCAGTCGTAAAGCGGCCCGATAACCTACGTCCTGAAGGGGACTTTGAAGATCGCCCGCGTGGTGAGGCTCCCAAGGGTGAAAAGGCGACGCCGTACAAGTACAGAGACAACCTGAAGCCAGAGGGTGAATTTACTGATCGCAGGCCGGAAGAGATACCTAAGGGTGAACGAGCCCCCGTAGTAAAGCGACCTGACAACTTAACAATGGAAGGCGAGTTCGTTGATACACGTGAGAAGCACACACCGGGAAGGGGAGACAGGGCACCTGTAGTGAAACACCCTGATCACCTAAGAATGGATGGCAAGTTCGAAGACAGGCCAAAGGACGTCGCTCCAACTGCAGAGCGCGCGCCCGTTGTGAAGCGGGTTGATAATCTCATGATGGAAGGGGAATTTACTGACACCAGGGAGCGAACAACCGTGACTCGAGGGGAACGGGCAGATATTATTCGTCGCGAGGACAATCTGCGAATGGAAGGGACATTTGAAGACACACGAGAGCTTAAAACCGTCACTCGAGGAGAACGGGCTGACATTGTTCGAAGAGAAGACAACCTACGGATGGAAGGACATTTCGAGGACCGTCCGCGTGGAGAAGCTCCCAGGGGAGAGAAAGTCCAACCTATCAAACATGGTGATAACCTTAGACCAGAGGGTGATTTTACTGACAGACGTCCCGATGAAGCTCCTAAGGGCGAAAGAGCTCTGGTTGTCAAACGACCCGATAACATTGTAGTTGAGGGAGAGTTCATTGACACACGAGAGAAAATGACCCCGGGAAGAGGCGATCGAGCACCAGTAGTTAAACATCCAGATCACTTGAAGCTGGATGGCAAGTTTGAAGAGCGTCCAAAAGACCAAGTACCAAAGGGAGAGCGTGCTCCTGTTGTCAAACACCCGGACCATCTTAGGATGGAAGGAACGTTTGATGATCGTCCCCGCGAGGAGGCCCCACGAGGCGAAAAGGCAACACCATATAAATACAGGGACAATCTGAAGCCAGAGGGTGACTTCACAGGAAGACCGACAGAAGAGGCACCAAAGGGTGAAAGGGCTCCTGTTGTCAAACGAACAGATAATTTGACAATGGAGGGCGAATTTGTCGATACAAGAGAGCGAACTACAGTGACCCGCGGTGAAAGAGCCGACATCATCCGCCGGGAGGATAATCTCAAAACAGAGGGGAGGTTCGAGGACACCAGAGAATATACAACCGTTACCCGTGGAGAGCGTGCCGAAATCGTCCGAAGGGAAGACAACCTCCACATGGAAGGCACGTTCGAGGACCGTCCTCGTGGCGAAGCCCCGAAGGGAGAGAAGGTTCGTCCTATCCGCCATGGCGACAATCTTCGCCCAGAGGGTGATTTTACTGGTCGTCCTAAGGATGAAGCACCTAAAGGAGAAAGAGCTCCTGTTGTGAAACGTTCTGACAACCTTACGGTTGAGGGTGAGTTTGTTGACACCAGAGAAAGAACGACGGTAACTCGTGGGGAAAGGGCAGATATCGTCCGCCGTGAAGATAATCTAAGGACAGAAGGAAGATTCGAAGACACCCGTGAAGTGACCACGATCACCCGCGGTGAGCGGGCTGAAATTGTTCGCAGGGAAGACAACCTACGCATGGAGGGGCAGTTTAATGATCGTCCGAAAGAGAATGCTCCGAAAGGCCAAAAGGCCAAACCAGTCAAGCACGATGACAATCTAAGACCAGAAGGAGAGTTCACGGGTCGCCCAAAAGATGGGGCCCCTAAAGGAGAGCGCGCACCCGTCGTGAAACATCCTGACCATCTGAAGATGGAAGGCGACTTCACAGATGGGAGAGATCGCCACTCTCCCGGTAGGGGGCAGCGGGCGCCAGTTGTCAAACACCCTGACCATTTGAAATTGGAGGGAGATTTCATGGATCGTCCCGACGAAAAGGCACCAAAAGGTGAAAGAGCCCCAGTAGTAAAGCACCCAGACCATCTAAAAATGGAAGGTGATTTCACTGACGGCCGAGATCGTCACGCACCAGGAAAGGGACAAAGAGCACCAGTGGTCAAACATCCTGATCATCTGAAGATGGAGGGAGAGTTTGCTGATCGCCCAGATAAGAAGGCACCAAAGGGCGTGAGAGCTCCAGTTGTTAAACACCCAGATCATCTGAAAATGGAGGGCGATTTTACAGACGGCCGTGACCGGCATGCGCCAGGAAAGGGACAACGGGCGCCTGTCGTGAAGCACCCAGACCATTTGAAGATGGAAGGCGAATTCATGGACCGCCCTGACGATAAGGTACCAAAAGGCGTCAGAGCACCTGTTGTCAAACATCCTGACCATCTAAAGATGGAGGGGGAGTTCGCTGACCGTCCAGACAAGAAAGCTCCCAAAGGCGTAAGGGCACCGGTTGTGAAGCATCCTGACCATTTGAAAATGGAGGGAGAGTTCGCTGATCGTCCAGACAGCAAAGCACCGAAGGGCGTTCGTGCTCCTGTTGTACAGCATCCTGATCATCTCAAACCAGGGGGCGAGTTCCTGGATACGCGCGATAAACAGTCGCCTGGTCGTGGAGATCGCGCACCAGTTGTGAAGCACCCAGACCAGCTGAAACTGGACGGAGACTTTGCCCAGCGACCCGCAGGAAAAGCGCCGCAAGGTGAGCGAGCACCTGTTGTCAGACGAGAGGATAACCTGACCATGGAGGGCGAATTCACGGACACACGAGAACAAACGGTGGTGCGTCGGGGCGAAAGGGCTGATATCGTCCGGAGAGAAGACAATCTTCGAATGGAAGGTAGCTTCGAAGACACGAGAGAACGTAATAAGGTGACTCGCGGGGAGCGAGCAGAGATCGTTCGAAGAGAAGACAACCTCCGAATGGAAGGTCGCTTTGAGGACACAAGAGATCAGAAGACCGTCACTCGAGGCGAACGGGCTGATATTGTCCGCAGGGAAGATAACCTCCGCATGGAAGGTCGCTTTGAGGACACAAGAGATCAGACGACCGTCACTCGAGGCGAGCGGGCTGATATTGTCCGCAGGGAAGATAACCTTCGCATGGAGGGCAAATTTGATGACACCAGGGAGCGCACCTCGATAACGCGCGGTGAGCGGGCCGAGATCGTGCGCAGAGAGGACACTCTGCGGATGGAGGGCGACTTCCAGGGTCGACCTCGCGGCGAGGCCCCGCGTGGTGAGCGTGCACCACGAGTTGACCATCCTGATAATCTAAAGCCAGAGGGCGACTTCTCGGGGAAGCCGCGCGAGCAGGCTCCGCGCGGTGAGCGGGCGCCCGTGGTGCGCCACCCGGACCATCTGCGCATGGAGGGCAAGTTCGAGGACGGCCGCGAGATGGTGACGGTGATGCGCGGCGAGCGGGCCGACGTGGTGCGCCACAGCGACAACCTGCGCACCGAGGGCTCCTTCACAGGTCAGTGGCCAGCGGCACCCACGTGCATTGTTGTGGCTTTTAGCTACTTGAAGCTAGTTACTTTTCTTATCGTCATCCCAGATTGCTAAAAAATAACATTTCACTGAAAAAAAAAACAATGAATGGTGGACACTGGATAGTGAAATGCATAAGTTGAATTTCCAAAATTGTTTCATACATCAAATGACTTTTTTTGTAAAAGAGTCAATTTCACGACAATGTAGGTACATCGTGGTACGATCGTCTATGCTACGTTTACCTCGTTTTCACTTGTCAGAGTGATATAATATCAGATATCTGCTGTATTGTTACAGACACCAGACAGAAGACAACGGTGAAGCAGGGATCTCGGGCGAGCATAGTCCGCCATGAGGACAACCTCCGCATGGAAGGAAAATTCAACGGTGAGTAAACGGACAATTGAAGTAGCATTGAAGAGCCATGCAGTTGACATGTGGTTTATTCTAAATGCTTTGCTGCATTTGTATTGCTTTCACAGTGCACTCAACATTTTTGTTGTTTAATAAACAGCACTACAATGATCTTGTCCGTCTACAACTAGGCACATGATGCACAACATCGAAAGTAAGTGACATCTCTTTCTGTTTGCAGACGGAAGGCAGAAGACGCTTGTCAGCCAGGGTGAACGTGCCTCTATTGTAAAACATAAGGACAATCTGCGAATGGAAGGCCAGTTTGAGGGTGAGTCACTCATGGACCACAGTCGCCTGTTTTTGTTATGACACGATGCACGCACAATTTCGTCTTGTGGACTTTGGTGATTACCTAGGAATGCCTCGGAATTATGATCGTCACTAACTTTTGGTTTGAGGGTTTCACTCACATCTCACAATGCCTGTCTTTAATTATTCAAGTCTGTCGATTTCATCCCGTGTCCCATTGTTGGTTTTCGTTTTATACGTCGATAGAGACCGTACCTACACTAATAAATTGTCCTGAAAAGGTTGGACAAGTTTAAAATACTCATAAAAATCATTACGAAAATATTTTTTCCTAGCCGGAGCTTCGTACACAGTTCTTTTCCCTGTTCTGTTTAAGAAAAGACAATGTTTGAACTACCTCTAGATAATGATTGAGAACAGTGAACTACCCAAAACCAAAGACATCAAACACATAAAACTTTTTCTTTTTCCTGATTTGTATCTTCATTAATATCTCAATCTTTGGGCTAAGCTATAATTTCTTTCAGCTTCGTACCTCTTATTTCATACAGCTTGGATATTGAATGAAAACTTTGGATACTCCTGAGGAAGTTTGAATATTCATAGTGCTATGTGCAGTGGTTACCTTTTTAAATAGGTAAAGTGACATGTAAAAAATATAATGTCTCACAATTAACTGACGTCTCACGTCTAGTTCTTCTTAGCACTACCATGGTCACTCTGAAATATCTAAACACTAGCATTCCCCTAAAACTAACACACCGGTACTGTTTTTAGTGACACTCCCTACCACTCCCTGTCTTCTCTGCCTGTGCACGTCGTGTCACGCACTCACCCGTCTCTCTCGCTGCTAACCATGCTCGCCATTCTCACTAACACGACTGCGGCTCGCGCAGACTTGCCGGCCAGCCCGGAGCCTGGCGTCGGCGAGCGGTCCTCGGCCAGCGGACCGGACCGGCGGTCCCCGGAGAGCCAGCGGTCGTCGGCAGGCCTGCCCCGGTCTCCGGCCGGGTCCCAGAGCCGGGGCTCTCCGACCGACCGGCGCTGGTCCTCGGGCGAGTCGTCCCTGGACTCCGGGGCGCCGACCACTCGGTCGCCCGCGGACCAGGACCGCCGCCGGTCCTCTGGTCAGTCCGGCCGGTCCACCGCCGCCCGGCCCAGGGATAATCTGCGCGTGGAGGGAGAGTTCCACGGGCGGCGCGCCGACTCGCTCGTCGTCGCCCACGGCGAACGGGCCGAGGTGGTGCGCCACCAGGACAACCTGCGAGTCGGAAGACAGCTGTTCGCCGGTACTGGCAGCCGCCTCTGCTCCTGCTGGCCCCGCCGGCCGCGCTCCGTGCGACTCTAAACGGCTTAGTCGCTCAGTTTATATGTTGCAGTTTATATCATGTTCTTTTGCACTCGCAGATTTATGTTGCCATGAATTTATTTTACTATGCTAGCTTCTTCAGTTAAATATCTGTGTACGTTTCGTTGCTATGTTTCGTCCCCGACATCGGTCCTCGGCCGCCACTGGAGTGTATCGCTGACACCTCCCGGCCGCCCGTGCAGAGCGGCAACAGAAGACCACCACGGTGACCGGTGAGAGGGCCGAGGTCGTGCGACACAACGATAACCTGACGGTGGGAGGCGGAGACTTCAGCGCACCGTGCACCCCGACCGCGCCGGCCGCCGGCGAGCGGGCCTCGCCCGTCCGACCGCAGGACAACCTGCGCATGGAGGGACAGTTCTCCGGTTAGTGGAACGACTCGAGCTAGTCTGCAACGACCGCTGCAAACGAGCGAATGCAGGCCAGCTGCTGTATATGTCATAATCCAACAGCTTGAGTGTTTTGTCTCATTTTACTTATTTATCTGCTTTGTTATTCTTTCATATTTTTAGACTGTATCTTTATTAGTTTTGTTTTGTTTGCTGCACCTTTATGTTCAACGTTCGTTCCATTTACGTTGTTATTTTCTGTTGGCGGACGCGTAGACACCCGCCGTAAGACGGTGGTGAAGCAGGGCGAGCGGGCCGAGGTGCGTCGGCGCCAGGACAACCTGAAGCTGGAGGGCGAGTTCGTTGGTCGCGAGCAGCGCACCTCCCAGACCACGGTGGTGCGCGCCGCCGGAGTGCCCTCCGGAGCAGGTACGGCAGCGCGGCGCAGCGGCCACCAGGCTATGTAGGACGGTCGACACGCATCAAATTTGACTATATTGTAAAACAGATCTCTTGACATCTCTTGATGTCTTATCCTTTTCGAACAAATCACACTATGTAATAAAGGGACCCAATCTGAACGATTCACTTTGTGAGTATGCACTCCAGTAGTCTCTCTTATGAATCACGTGAGCACAATGCACATTAGTTTTGAATCACGTGAGCATGCTAGTTGGTCGTAATATGCACCAGGAACACGAAAAACACCTTTTTCTCATGGCTTCGTTTCTGAGTATCTCTTGCCGCGATAAAATCCCGTAATTGTGCTAATAGTTAATTGCTAAACGTATGTCAATCTAATAGCTGATACGAGTACGGCAAAGTGTCGCTAGCCCTGACCTTCATGTTTGGTTGTGTGTTCTCAGCGGTGTCGACCAGCCAGGGCGACTTCCAGCCGTTCAAGACGGTCAGCAAGCCGGCCGGCCAGACGGTGCAGCAGAGCCAAACGCAGCAGCAATCGTCGATGAGCGTCAGCCAGCAGGGTGGCGCCACCTCGCGCACCGAGCAGCACTCGTCCAGCGCGCACCTGGAGCAGCGCAAGGTCTCCAGCTCGCAGCAGCAGTCCTCGTCCACCAGCCAGAGCTCGCAGCAGGTGGCGCAGCAGCAGCAGTCCTCGTCCACCGCCCGGAGCTCGCAGCAGGTGGCGCAGCAGCGCTCCGCGTCCAGCAGCCAGCTGGAGCAGCGCAGCATGTCGGCCAGCGAGCAGCGCGCCATGATGTCCTCCAGTCACACCGAGCAGCGCGTCACGTCGGCCGAGCAGCACTCCAGCTCCCAGCAGCAGACTGTCAGCAGCAGCACCAGCAGCAGCAGCCGGCAGATCCGTGACTCCTCCGCCCACCGCCGCGCCACGAGACACAACACCTGGACACGCGACGACACCGAGCGCGTCAAGGCGGTCCGCCAGGCCGACAACCTCACCCTGGAGGGATCGCACACGTTCGAGACCAGCTCCGGGAGGCGCGGGAAGGCGCGGATCCGGCCGGAGACGCAGCCGGTGGCCGGTGCGCGGCCCGTGGGTGTCCAGGAGCCGCGCACCTCTCCGGACAAGCAGCCGGCCGCCGGACAGCGGCCCGGCAGCGGCGAGGGCAGCGACCGCGCCTTCGCCGGCTCTCTGCGCAAGGACGAGCAGAGCGTGAAAAAGTGGGCGGCCAACACCCAGCAGCGCGCTGGCAGCTCCTCGGGCGTCAGCAGCGCCCTCCAGCAGAGCAGCACCACCAGCAGCGCGGTGCAGCAGCAGCAGGTCAGCAGCTCCTCGGTCCAGCAGCAGCAGCAACAGAGCTCCAGCAGCACACGGCGCGAGTCGCGCGTCTCCAGCAGCACGCAGCAGACTGAGCAGCGCAGCCGGGCCGTGCGCAGCTCCACGCAGTCGCTCGGCATCTTCCACGGCGACTACGACGTGTTCAAGGACAAGTCGGCCTCCAAGAACCAGTCGTACGCCACCTACAAGCCGTGCCCGGCGGCTGTGGTCGACTCGCCCATGTCAAACCTGCGCCCGGTAGGACAGACGCACGACCACAAGTACTACATGCCGAAGGTCAGCGACTAGGGAAACTCGGTGCGACTTTGTGATAATGTGTGACGCGGGAGGTCGCTCGGACCGCTCTCGGCGACAGTCGGGGGTCTCCCTTAACCCCTGATCTCGCCGAGTGTTGTTCGACCGACCGGAATAAGGGCCAGAGCTGATAGACCAGATGCGTTGTGTTCCACGGAAGCGTTCGTGATGCGTGGTCCGGAGTAGGGGTGGGGGCCGGCGCCGGGCACTGTCGGCTTCCCTTACCCGTGCGGTGCCCGCCCGCCGGCCCCGGCCCGTCACCGTGACCCGGGTAGAGACAGGCGGCGCCATCGACGAGCGTCGTCGCTTTCGTCACGCGCTTCGACGCTCGTTCGCTGCATGTGATAGACACGCCCCGAACACCGTCCACGCGTGAGGCCTTTCCACCGCGCTGGGCCGCCGGCCTGCGCATTGTGATGTCGATTGGACCGCGGATGCATGAGGGTGGCGAGGATGTGTAAAAATCAAAGCTGGAGATGTTTTTAGGCAGCGATACTAGTGCTAGTATTTTCCAAGGTTTATTGTCTTACTAATTCTGACTCGCTTGTGGTTATGGCAACTGATGTCCAATGAACTAATGGCTATTTATACAGCCCTTGGCGAGTGTGAATGCGTTCCTCTGACTAGCTAGTGATGCAGAAATGCTCATTTATGTTTTGATGATATTTTCGAGGTGAAAATACATTGCTTTATGTAACAACAAGCTTTTAATAACGTGAATCTATTTAAATACACGAGTCATAATACTACCGAGAACTTTGGTATTTTCCGAATGTGGGACTAAACGAATTCATACCCAGCTCAGAAAATGCAGTATCTTATGACACTATCCGTCATTCACAAATTGCTAGAAAAGGCTCAACGTTAAAACTACGCAGGCAGTAAATACGCTGACGCCCTACCTATCCACGACATGGAAAATGACACCAACGTTTAGGTAATTACACAATTATACGGATAGACGGATAAAGAAAGACGGTCTCGGACGCTGCGGAGGCGGGGCGTGGCATACCCCCCCCCCAAAAAAAAATCTCCAAATTTCAAAAACTCCTCAGAATTCGATTCCTTACGCACTTCTCTGCAGTTCTACTAGTATACAGGCTTTTTTCCTAATAAAAACTGTTAGGTCTTCTTTATTTTCCAGAAAGAGCCCTCATTTTCAAGGATTTCAGGCGCTGCGGGTGAAGGCGGGGGACGTTTGCTTCAAATGCCCCCGGGATCCGCCATGAGTGCAATCAGAGGCGGATCCAGGATATTCTTTGACCAGGGGCCAACGGTATGAAGGTGGCCTATTTTCGAGCTACCCTACCAGGGGCGGTACCAGAATTGGGGCGCCTGTAGTGAAAAAATGCGAACTTCTTTCTCCCTTCCTCCGAAATTGTTTATAGCTATATGGGCATAGGTGCGGGAGCCGGGGAGAGGGACAGTGGGGGCAGCCTTCCCCCATAACTCTGGGGCCGTGGGGGCGCTGCCCCCACAACTTTCCATAGGGACAGGAACCGTCGGGGCAGCTCTTCCTCCCCAAATTAGTGGACGTGGGTCACAAAGGAAACCTGAATGGAAGAAAGCATAAAAATCCCCTTTTTACCTAGCTTGACAGCTCATGTGGAAGATTTAACCCTCGCCCGTATTGGTGTTTTGCCAGCCTCGAACGTATACGGGGGGGGGGGGTGTCCGTTGGACCCTCCTTGCCGTTTCACCCCTGATTGACCTAAAGTTTCGCGGAAACAATGAGCGTGTTGCCCGTGACGAGAAGAAGATTGACACCGCCTGGCACCAGCACACTGCTGGCCGGCAAACAGCTTACCGGTTACCGAAACGTTGCACTCTGTCGGCAATGCGCTCCCAAATCCGACGTCACAAGGACCACAGTCAAACAGGCGTCCGCCCCGCGCTGGCGTCTGCGGCACACTGGCCCCTTCTCCCCTGGTCCTTTGCGCGCTCGGGCCCCGCCGCGCGCAGCCGTCCCCACAAACGTTCAACTTGCCCGCTGGCCGCGCTCATTTTAGACCGATAAAGGCCTGCAATTGTCTACGACACTTGAGTCGTCATTTAAGGTCCTTGGTCACTGGTTGACCTTCCAGGTCAGGTCAATGACCAAAAGTCGGGAAAATCGGGACCTGTTGGAACGTCGTAAAGCGTAACTTCTATGTTTTTTTTTTCAGGGTGCCTATCACGAATACCAAATTAGTTTTGATCACAGATGATGACTTCATGCATTTAGGCCAGGTCGGGTCAGGTCAGGTCAGGTAAACCAGTGGGGGTCCTGCCGGGTATTCGTAGTAGGTGTCAACCGCCTCTAACAGCTTCGTAACATGTTAGGTACAAAGGCTTCAAAACTACTTCGTACCTACATGTTCAAATGGTTCAGGTTGCTAAATTCGAGTTCTGCTAAAAAACTAGCTTAGAAAAATGTAAAACTCGAAAAAGTGGACCGAGGTCATCAAAGGTCAATGACCTGACCTGAACTTCAGGTGAACTTGACACCCACCCTTATGCATGGGACTTGGGAGCAAGATAATATCACATGTTTGAAGGCTTGAAACAACGAAAAGACTGGAAACGCGCGGCTTATGCGAGCCGACATATGCCGAATCGAGATTCCGGCCAAACATGGTCTCGGAAAGTAGGTCACAGGTCAAAGGTCATTTCAATTTGGGTCCGGGTCATGAAATTTTCAGAGTAGGTGTCAAATTGATTAACGCGAGGGCACTGGCGGATCCAGGCTTGCGTTTGGGGGGGGGGGGGCAACTCATGCGGAGCCAAACCTAGGGTACCCCCAAATCCTGTTTTCTCATCGGATTTAGGCCACTTATTTTTCGTCACAGCCCTGACACTATTATTTTTTTTTAACTAAAAAAATATATATATAAATGGTAGCCCACCCGACCCATGCCTTTGTGAACACTTACCATTGCTTTTGTCGACCAGTTAAAGGGACTATCCCACCTTTAACATGGGGTTTGAGTTGAGATAGCCAAGTTTGCGGCGAGGTTCAGAAACCACTATCTATCTAGGTTGCAGCCCCCGCGGCCTCTTGGTGTTGAAGAAATTCGTTCCCTTCATTTGAAAATGGGCCTTGTGCAAGGCCCTATCTTCAACATGGAGCGACCGTTAGTGTGACGTCACCTCGTTTAGTCATTCTGATTTAAATGGGTTTGTTCGTTGAAAAATCGCTTAAAATTTGTTCTGAACTTTGTTGTGGTGCCTACAGAGTAAAAAGAATCAGCTTTATGACAGTAATGTGGCCTGGGGAAGGAGGTAATTTTGGGCTGTGACGTCACATATTTGAAAGTTTGTGTTTGGAATATGGGAAGCCTAAGATGTTTAATGAAAAATAAATACCAGAACCGTGTTCCTGGTCATCCAATCTATAAAGTCGGGCACAATTTAACTGGTTTTAACAACATTTTAGAAGGTGGGATAGTCCCTTTAACCCGCTTCGAGTCAGTTCTTGGGTCCCTTTGCGGGCCGGGAGGTGGTAAAACACCCCCAGTCTATAAACTCGGCTCCTGGGCCACGCACTGATTGAACTATGTTTCATTATCGTTTGGGGGAGGGGCAAACGGGCCACTTTAGGCCTCTGGGAAAGGGGCATGGCCCTAAATGCCCCCTCCCTGGATCCGCCAGTGTAAGAGACCATTGGAGCTGCAGTTGGGTACCTCAGACGTCAGGGTACGCCCTCAGATGTATGTATAGGACTTGCGTGGAGACCTCTTATGCTGTAGTGGACTGAAAGGACCCAAAGGAGCCCGTCTAGGGCTCCCGGAGAATGGAGATAGACGTGGGCCCTCAGGAGCCCGCCAGAGCCCCCAATGAGGGATAAGTGAGGGATACCAAGTGCCTGCAATTGCATATTGCATAAGCCATAACGCCTTTACAAATCAATATATTATGTATCAGTGGCAGATACAAGGGGGGCCACATGGGTCATGACCCCCCTTGGTGCCCGGGGGCACCACCGGCCAAGCAGGGGCACCACCGGCCTAGCAGGGGCACCACCAGCCCGCCAGGGGCACCACAGGCCTAGCAAGGGCACCACGGGCCTGTGACGGGTCCCACAGGCTTGTCAGGGACACCCCAGGTCTGTCAGGGACACCAGAGACCTGCCAGGGGCACCACCGGCCTTGCAGGGGCACCATGGGCCTGTTAGGGGCACCAGAGGCCTAGCAGGGGTACCACAGGCCTTACAGGGGCACCACCGGCCTTGCAGGGGCACATTGGGCCTGTCAGGGGCACCACAGTCCTGTCAGGGCCCAGGGGCACCAGGGGCCTAGCAGGGGCACCACAGGCCTGCCAGGGTCACCACCGGTTTAGCCTTTACAAATTAATATATTATGTATCAGTGGCAGATCCAAGGGGGGCCACATGGGTCATGACCCCCCTTGGTGCCCGGGTGGTGCCTGTCAGGGGCACCACAGGCCTAGCAAGGGCACCACGGGCCTGTGAGGGGCCCCACAGGCTTGTCAGGGGCACCCCAGGTCTGTCAGGGACACCAGAGACCTGCCAGGGGCACCACCGGCCTCACAGGGGCACCATGGGCCTGTCAGGGGCCCTACCGGCCTCGCAGGCATCACGGCATCACGCAGGGGCACCTTGGGCCTGTCGGGGACATCACGGGCCTGTTGGGGGCGCTTTAGGCTTGTCAGGGGCACCGCAGTCCTGTCAGGTCCCAGGGGCATCAGCAGCCTAGCAGGGGCACCCTAGGCCCGCCAGAGCCACCACAGGCCTGCCAGGGTCCAGGGGCACCACAGGCCTAGCAAGGGCACCATGGACCTGTCAGGGGCACCTCAGGCTCCCGTGCCCCCCCCCCCCCTGGATCCGCCAGTGATGCCACACCACGCGAAACATCGCCAACTACCAGCTGCCGCGCCATAAACACGTGCCAACAACAGTCTTTTTTTAAGGTCGACTCCGCTCGCGCAACTTGTGACTGACCCTCACTGCTACCATATTGCTTCCGTATTATGCTGTGGAAAGCTTTACTTCACCAAGTGGCTAAAAACCTCCATCAAGGTATATTTTCATAGCATTTTTTCGGACGTTTTGGGGGGGCCAAACCGGCCACTTTAGGCCTTTGGGGGGGGGGGCATGGCCCCCGTGGCCCCCCCCCTGGATCCGCCAGTGCGCGAGGGTACTGAAAATTTTGTTGCGATCGGCCGCTTTTTACGCGAGCTATTTGCGAAAAACCTTAGGGGGGGGGGGTTGCATCACCCCCTCCCCTGTGCCGGCGTATGGATATGGGTAGGTACCTAAATGTCATAGTCTGAAAACGCCCTTTGGTTTTCACATGCTTGTTCAAAGCAAGAGGTATTTGCACTTTTCCGAATTGTTTTATAGTGATAAGGTCATGAATCCGCGTGCCCGACCTTCCGATGCCTGACCAACGATCCGTCGCCATGGTGCAGCGGCTCGACCAGTGGGCACACCGTGGGAAGGCAATTGGATCTAGTGATTTTGCCATAAACTGAGTTCAAAAATGTTACGCAAGAATGAGATGGACGTAGCATACCTAAGTAATGCCAACAGCGCGGCGCTTCGTGGCGTAGATTTTACTACACACGTAAAACTTAGCCCATCACCCCACCCCCTCCCCCGGTGACGGATAAATGTCCCACGAGTGTGACTTGCCCCCCCCCCCCCCCCCTTTGCTAGCGGCTGCGACGCCAGTGTGTCGGTGCGCAGGTCGCAGGTCGCAGGTGCCACCGTGTCTGTGTCCCCGTCACTCACCTGCAAATGATGAGATGCCGCCAAAGGATACTCGCCATTCGCCACTGCATGGGAGAGAAAAGGCATTTCCGAAACGCAAACAGCCATCTTCGTCCAAACAAGGGATGAGTGATGACAAATTTGCAGCACTTATAATAGTCACTTTGAAATGCTCCACTTCTCTCACCCCACCCCACTTCAACACCCCACAGTCCACAATATACAGCACACCCACACACTTCAAAACAAGCTTCAAAACTGTCACACGCTTTGACAGAAGCTCAGCCGGGCGTTGTCATCTGATAACGGGGCGACAACCAATCAGAGAGCGGCACTGAGCGTAACTACTCGCAGCTGATTGGCTGATCAGCCGACGAGCTCGCTCGACACCGCCCGGGGGCATGCATGGTCCGCGCGGTCTGGGTGAAATACGACGCGCTGAATCTCGCAGAAGGCGGGCACGGCGGGCAGAGAGGTGAGGGAAGGAGGGGTGACCGGCGTCCCGAGAGTGACGTTTGTGAAATGTGCGTTTGGAGATTGTGGTGCACGCTAGTGAGAAGTGAGCGCCCGTGGTGCTATTTCTTTTGGCGAATTTGTGAATTTTGATATCGGTTCAAGTTTGGACAAGCATGAATGGCTGTCCAACAAACAAGAGGCTCCCCGACCCCGTTCCACCATAGACGCACCAAGCTGAAGCAGCCAAAACTGCTGTCTGGCACGGAGACTTCGCTGAATGGTGAGTACCTTCCTACAGCAATTCGATGCATTCGTTCAGTGTCCATTCTGTCAGTGATCGGACTTCAGAGCCCCAATGATCCCTGTTCGCTTGTGATAACTGATATGTACAGGTCTCGCGGGTTTTAGCGGTAGGTTTTGCACCTAGAAAATTTAGTGTACTTCAGGCTATATCTTCGTCGTCTTAAGCTTTTAAGTGTTGAAGATGCGGTCGACTTGTTGGGTAACAAGCCGGCCATGATCGTGTAAAATGGCTTCATCGTAGATCGATTAGCTTCTGAGATATAACCGGAAATGTAAAAGTGCAAAACCTACCGCTTAATCTCGCGAGACCTGTACATATTAGCCGTTTTCACGACGACCATCTGGTACACATCTGGTGCAGATTAGGTGCAGATTTGGTCAAATTAGGTGCATTCGCCGGATAGCCCGTCGTGAAAACGGCTATTAGCCGTTTCAAATAGCCGTTTCACGACGGCCATCTGGTACACATTTGGTGCACATCTGATACAGCTTAGGTGCAGATTTGGTCAAATCAGGTTCAGTGTGTTTCTTAGCAGCTATCAGCTAGGGTTGCACTAATTGCTTATATGCCTGCTTTGTCATATTATCAGAGAGCATCATCGATTAAAACACTGAAATAGATTCATAAAATGAAGATATTTGTTGTAAAAGAAATTAGGTGCAGACCTGGTCAAATCAGGTGCATTCGCCGGATAGCCCGTCGTGAAAACGGCTATTATCTTCCCAACCCTAATAGTGATTATCGTAAAACATTATAAAGTCGCAGTCAGCTCGCCCGGCCACCATGCCACCAGTGGTTAGTCATCTGTGGAATATGCATGTATTAATGACCTCCACGTTTTAACCACCTCTAGTTAATGAATGACGTACAAATCAATCACTTAACCTTAACAACCAACGTGACTCGCCAGGTAAGCATATACAAATAAGCGGAGTAATGTCTCGGCGGAGTCGAGAAAGCGTTCGTGCTACTTGCGACCTACTGAACAGTTCAGCATAAAATTAGAGTTCTAGCCGATGCTTGGTTGCTCAAGGTGCTATTTTATGCTGGTACTGCATTTACAAAGAACTTCAAATAGATGTCTGATTGATTAGCAATGAGACGCACGCGTAAAACGGAAGCTGGTAAATATTTATAGAACAGATACCTACTAAATCAAAGTGTCAATGATAAGTTCAAAAAACCTTTCTTATGATTGGCCATCTACCTGCTAGGTATTTTCAAAACAATAAGGCTGAATCATTGATAGACGATTGGACGTTACGCATCGGAAGTTTCCGATATTTGTCTTGCAACGCTTCTAACATCACTCATACATTTTCACTTCGCTTATTAAACATATCCACTGGATGCATGCCTTGGTCATGCAGACTCAGTGCAACACTACAAAGTCCTGGCGCCAATAAATCACTCGGCGGTGCTAGCCCGCACAGCGGCTAGTCGCCGTCTCCTTCCGCTCTGCCGAACTCCGTGGACAGAGCCGGGTCCGCCGCGCCCCTCCCTCATCAGCTCGGTGTGCTCACAGCGGACCTGTCGCCGGTCCATCACAGACTGTATCTCAGGCCTTGGGCAGGACCGCCTCCGGCGATTGCAGCGGTACTTTCGGGGTCACTGCGGTCACGGTGGGCCTCGTCGAACCGTTTCTGGACGCCGGCACCTCCGCCCGCAGTCCGCCGTTCTCGCCAGGTGGCAGCAGCGGCGAGCCGTTGCTTGCAGATGGCGCTGGCGTCTCGCCGGAAGCTAGCCGTTTTCGGATAGTGAGTCGCAGGGCGCCCTCCGGCTGTTTCTTCAGGAAGTTCCACGCCTCGATACGCGGCATGTGTGTCACGTCCTCGTCGTTAATGGCCAAAATCTGGTCCCCGATGTGCAGCTTGCCGCTCTTGTCCGCCGCTCCCCCTGAGGAGCAGAAGTGGTATCAGGGTTAAGACACACTGTCTCCGCTTTTATCCACCTGTTGGGAGGTGCTCCCAGCTGATCCATTAGAAAATGGAAATAAATAATGCCATTGCAGCGTTCATCGTGATGTGATAAATGGACGGTAACTAGTATGACGCTCCTCGAGTCTATTTCAGTAGCGTAGCTCATTTCTTACCGATTACCGAACCATATTTCGATCAGCATCCGGCATCGCAAGGGACGTGCAATGCATGACAGGGTAAGCTGTAACGAGAATATGCGACCCTTCTTGCTTTCGTCTAAGCAACTAGGTACCTAAATTGTTGACTTATATCGAGTGATATTATCAAGTTTTAAAAAAAGGACATTTCGTGCTGGCATCAAGTACCTGCATGGAGAACAAAAAAGACGCATATTTATCTCTTTTTTTTTTAAATCCAGAGATGTTGATATAAACAATTGCAAAGGGTATACTTTAGTTTTGAAGGATGGTTTGGTTGTCACGTCTAAAAGGTTGACGCTGAAGAGCGTCAGAAGTTGTCGCATCAATGCTAACATACAACTATTATACGCATATGAGAGAAAAGAAGTAACAACCTAACTTCAGTTACGTTATATTGAAACGTATCTACCTATTGCACGCGCATTTTATTGCGTTGGCAAAAAATATCATTTAACGGTTAACTAAAAGTTAACCGTTTCATTCAGTTGACACAACCATTTAGTCAAACCTCTATTCTTCTAGCCTTGTGAGATTTTAAATGTTTGTCGCACCTATCTTTTTATCAGCTGCACTGTTGCAATTTTTTCCAAAAGATAAGTCAGCACCTTGCTTAATTCAGAGCCAAGCCGCTATCACCCATGACTGGTTTGAGCCGAACAGGTTTCGGAGGATGACAGTGACACCCTATATGTCCCCGACTGGTGCGATCTGATAACACTGCATGTGATCGACGGCGCTGTCTCGGCCGTATCCGCTTCATATTCCGCTTTATCAGTTAACGGGCATATCAGCAGAGGATCAGACACTGCAGGCCCGACTTGTCACGGTCTCGTCGTTGGCATGGCAACCGGCAGCGTTGCTCCAATGAGTTGCTGACGTGGTTAATGAACACCTTTTGGAATTCCACTGCCGGGTGAAAGTCGCAGACTGGTTCTGGCCCGGGTATGTTAATATATATTTAATCGGACCGCGTCCTCGGTATACCAGGTATTATTCGGTGTGCCTAGCCAAGGGTGTTTTAAATAATGCCCGAACGGAGTGAGGGCATTATTTTTCCTAAAATATTAACCGAACGAAGTGAGGTTAATATTTTCAAAAATAACACGAATGAAATGAGTGTGATTTTTGTATTTAATGCACGAGCCCGCGAGTGCATTAAATATAAACACCCTTAAGGCAAGGCACACCGAATAATGCCTGGTGTACCGAGGAGGCGGTCCGATTACATTTATTATAACGACTTTGCGCCGTTCGTCGCTCAGCCCGTCTGTTTAAAAGGGCTACATTGAGGGATTGGGAAAAGAAACGGGGCTTGGTTTTCTTTTCGGGGAAACACTTGTTAATAACGAAATGTGGGAGAGCAAACTGCAGTTTTTTCTCGCTGTCTGTACCATTCGTATCCATTTTCTGCATTAATGAACATCACCTTTGAGTGATCGGACAAAGCAGTGGGCCTATCAAATTAAAAAAAAAAATAAGAAGGCGTCTCAAAGCTCTCTCTCTGAATTTGATTAAGCTCTGTGTTGCCTTCGGTGCCTGTGTTGCCTTCAATCTCAATGCAGGCCAATATTCATTTTTCAGCGAGCAGCTTCTTGTGAAACTATTCGGGCTCCACCACGGAAAGAAAAAGTCTGATTAACAATATTATTCCCGGGATTAATTTCTGTTATACCGACGTTTTACTTAAAAAACTGAAATCACGCGCGCGTTTAGAGACAGCCCTCCGATGCTGCAAAAATTACCCGTGCTATCAAGATTTAAATACTTTTTTAACATGCGTGAACGGCGCAAAGTCGTTTTAATCCTCTTTAACGCCAGGAATTTCAGCTGATATTTTCAGCCAGCTAAGCTGCTGAGCATCGTAATAAACATCATCTTTGAGTGGATATATTGTTTTGTTTTGCAAGAAAAATACTTGTAGCGAGGCAAAGGAGAAACATGCTTATAACGTGCTTGTAAATGATATCAAATAACTAGCCGGATTACTGAGTAGTGACATGCAGTTGGTTTGAAAGCATACGGGCCTTAGGCAGCAATGAATTAGCGATCACATATTTTCCTTTAATAAAACCTTTTCCCAACCGATAGGAAAGAGACGTCGATATCGACAATGCGTACCTGCGAATATTTTCTTGGCCACTAGGGGCCGGTCTCCGAGCGGAGAGTCCTTGCCGCCCTCGAGACTGAAGCCGACGCCGGCGCCCTCCTTCACCAGGGTGACCACCTTGGGAGGGCCCCGCGGTACGTCCTCGAACGCCAGGTCTGCGGAGGCGCGGCCGGGTCAGAGAGCACCGGTTTGAGACGGCACATAACACCGTTTGGGACAGGGCAGAGGGTCATGGGAGCGTCCAAAGGGCGGGAGTTATCTCAGGGGAGGGGCCAAGCGATTGAACTAGTGTTTGGGGGTGGGTAGGGGTGAGAGGGGTTTCCTGCGAGACAACACGGTGCCAACATCGCAGACGCCAGACTTGTCGACAGCGATGATGACGGTCGATGTTAGAGAACGTCATCGTGTTCATAACATCGCCGTCATCACGTGTACCACTGATACGGGAGCAGGGATGGCGTCAGCTCTGTCGGGGAGCGTCCAATAACAGCGAGCAGAGGAGTGGCCGCATGGACCAACAGCGGGGAGGTCACGCAGGTTAACTGGTCACGGTATCCACCTGACATCATCGGTACTCTCCCTCGTCATTGGTGAGTCATCCTGCGCTCTGCCGTCCTGTGAAGAAGGCCGACATCGGCTGAGGGTGTGAGGGGCGCTGCAGGGCCCATACGCGCTGGAACGTCGGGCGGCTGTCTCGTGATGCTGGGATTTTGATCGATCTGATTCGATGTCGGACACTCAGGACAGTGAGATCGGTGGCGGTGTCAGACCAGACAGCGGTCGTCCTCGCCAGTGACACCCGGTCCGACATTCCGGTCCGACATTCGATTCGAGTGTTGATGAGGGTTGTGTTCAGTGCGACTGATCGCCGCGGCTTATTGGCTCTCAGCTCGGATGAGATGTCGAGTTCGACGGCCGAAGGTGGTCTCACAGAATGATGCAAGTCTGCACTGAATTTGGCTGGACTGCATAGCGTGTTATGCCAGCATAGTGCCGCGCCGTGCTGTCTGTGCTGTACGGTGCTGTGCTGTGCTGTGCTGCGCTGTGCTCCGCCGGTGCAGTGCCGCGCTATTTTGTGATGCACTGTGCCGTGCTGTTCCTCCCACGTGATTCAGTGAGCGGTGCCCCGCTCCCCGTGCCCGGCCGACCACGGCGCGGCGGTCAGCCGTCTTCCTGTCTGCCGCGCCGCGTCGAATTGCTCCTCAGTGGGTGCGGTGAGGTTGGTGTGGTGCCAGGCCGCTGAATAGGCTGTGGTATGTCCACACTGAATGGGTGACGGCGCCCCGACCGGCCAGTGCCCGACGGCTGATATTTTTACGGCTTCCGGCCACAAACCGCAACTAACCCCGCTTTCACATGATAACGCTACGAGTTTCCTCGAAAAGACATGGCCGGCTGGTCGTGGCGCAAAATAAGCCAATGCGTTGGGAGCTCAGACTGGAATCCTCACGGTCGGCTGTTTTATTTTTAAATTCTATTTTGGATACGTCCCGGTGCATAGTGAAATGCCGCACCTGTCGCACCTGCCCAAAATGGTTCTATTTACATTGTAACAATAGCTAGCGCATATACGGAGTGAAAAAAGACACCACAATTTCTACGCAACTCGGATTTTAAAGCAAACGATACGTTATCTTTCTTACGGTTCGTTTTGGAAGCCTATGCAATTTTAAACACCGTGGGACACATTTTAAGACTCGTCAGCTTATATATCAGATCGTGTTTCCCTGTCCCGTGAAGAGACATATGTTATGCGGTCAGCTGCTTACGTAAGAAGATTCACTTAGCGTAAAACGTTTAGGATAAGAGCATCAGCGACAGGAAAGAGGCCAAGCAATGTGTGAAACTCCAAAAAAGGTCGTTTAAAAACAGACTTATCAGTGCAAAGTACCCATCATCCAACTCGTGCATAAGTTATATCAGAATACTACAGTGAAGGTTCTGCACAACCGCTGTTTAGCATGCCTCTCCATCGCTATTTTCTTGGAAATTCCACTGCAAATTTCCAACAGAATGCAGTGTGCCGTGTGAGGGAGTTGTCAATATTCGCCCCAAAAAAGCAACAGTCGATCAGGAATGTTCCGTTTGAGGTATCACAACCGGTCAAGTTTGCATAGTTGTCCGGCGGCCGGGTGCCGCGACGCGCCCGTTTTCCTTTTCGTCCTCGTGCCGACGGTGTTGGGCGTTATCTGATCCCCGGCAGTTGGGCGACAAATCGCACCGGACACGTCCCGTGGCTGGATCGGTGTCGTCCGCGGCACAGGGCATACCGCGGGGCCGGGCCAGAGGTGCTGGGCGGCAATTATAGACAGCAGGAGAACTGCCTGGCTCCCGTTGGCTCATGGAAGGGCATTGGGACAAGTGACGGACATTTTAATTACAAGACTAGTGAAATGGAATAAAGTTATGGATTTTCGAACGCAAGATCATTGGCAGCACAGCACCCAAATCAAATAAACAACATGAAACTGAAGCCTTGAGATTATCTTACATGTATACCGATCGATAAATAACTCCTGCATACCTAACTCGTGACCGAGAGTAGTCTCACCTGACGCCAGACTCTTGCTGTCCATGGGGCTCTCGAGGATCTTCGGGGGCCGGCTGGAGAAGGTGTTGATCACGGAGGGACGGTGGACGGCTGAGCCGTTCTCGTCGGTAGCGGCATCCAGAGGGGTGACCGACCTGGACCGGGACAGGACCAGCACCACCTCGGCACGCGGCGCCTGCGAATAGGCAACACTGGGTCACGGGGTGGCGGGTGAACAGGTCACACTGGGTCATATGCAGGGGAGATCGACGGCACGGAAAGTTCCATGAAAGGGAGGTTTCTTATAAGTGCGAGGGAATAAGCATCAGCTGATTTTTGTGTAACTTTCTCATTTTTAAAGTATTTATGGCCTCTTGTTTAATGCAATCACCGTGCTGTCACCTCAGCTCAGCTTCCGGCTTCTTTCGTGGTTAGAATGACGTAAGCTACAAGAATGGACCAGTTTTGGCATGGAATGATGCAAGCCTTTGTGCGCAACCATGTGCAAGTTATAAAATAAAGGGGAAATAAAACACAATAATGGTGTAAATAAGCACGTTTCCAGCTAAACCGTGCAGCTCTTGCAAGAAAGAAACGTGTGAACTTAGCATACCACGGACACCAAAAGTCGCCTGCTGGAGGAATTTCAGAAGCCGATTAGCAGCTCAGATGACGCCATGGCAAAGAAACACCTCAGGATCTGACAGATTACACCTCGCGTCAGCCGCTTATGTCACTTAAGTCCCCACCAATTTCTTAGCGCAAGACTGAAACCTAAATGCACAATGTTTGATACTCACGTCGCTATTGTTATCGTTCTCCTGTCAAACTATCCAGATATGACCTGTGCCAACTTTATTATGTCTTTTACCTGAGTGCCACTGAAACCTCGTCAGCCGAAATGATCCAGGCTCTTGTTCAGCCAGTGCAGTGGGACAATCGTTCACCGATCGTGGAAGCATGGGTTTGATTGCCTCCGCTTTTATGATGCCGTGCTGCGCGGCTACTGCTCCCGCTATTGCGGCGCCTCCGCTCTCGATAACTCCCGTTCTTAGCACCTTAAATATTTAATTATGCCCTAATGAAGTATAAAAGAACGTTTTGGTTGAGAACAGTGCTTTTCTACTTTGAATGGAGCGCCTGATTCACCATCACCTCAGTTGAGTCACACTGACTGAATTATGGTCGGGTGCGCCGTGAAGATTACTTTGACACACTTACGAACTACCTGGAGACCTAGAGACGTGCCGGACATATCACCAGCCAATTAACCTATGAGTCATGACAGCAGCCCGTGTTCACCCATCTCCACACCCTCATCCGTTCCTGGTCGTGGGTCAACAGTAGCACATGCTGGAGCGCTGGAGCCATACGACGAGCGAGACTGCTCCCTCCTTATGTTTTAGGGCCTTGGCTCCTTCTAACAAGGAGCTGTTGAAATCCGTATCTTAGGGCGGCTCTCTCGCGGAGCCATTCGCGTCGCACCTCTGACGCGGGATGTGGGTCGTTATCGTTACGGGTCAGCCGGTCGTACCTCGCTGGATTAGCTGTGGATGTTCCCGTCACCCGACAGACGCTCCAGGGAACTGGATCATGCACGACGCTTTGGCAGTTAGCACACGGGACAAGTGTCATTAGCCTGGAAATTATGTGGCTGTAAACTGTTAATAGAGCGTATGTATTACTGAGCAGCATAGGCATAATGTGAATATATGTAGGTACTCATGGCTTCTGATAACGGCATCATAACGAGACAGGGAATCTCAAAATATAACTTCTTGATCCAGATGTGTCGTAAGATCCAGAACAAGCAAAACATTCGGGCCGAAAACGTTATAAAGCGTGCCGTCACCGGACGAACATTATCAATTTTTACATGCAGAATGTGTCCAAACATTCCTCTGACATGTTTATAGGAAGACGAACAGATGGGTCGTCTCCCAGGAAACATTCTCCGAATCATCTGCAGTCTTTCAGTTTAGACAGTTCTGAAGCTCTACATGATTTTCTTTTGCCTTAGAGACGACCGTCCGCTTGTGATCTTTGTAATGTTGGATGTCGGTCTGATATTTAGTGCACCCATATTCGACATGACCGAAACAGCGTCCAATGATGCCAAACACAGCAGCTGTGGGTGTCTACAAGCACTGTCTGCTGTCCACTTTTCAATGCCCACCCAGGGAGCGATCGACTGATAACGAAGGCAGCTCGTTATTTCTCAGCGACTACTGTAACGGCACAGTCATCATCTGATAGCAGCCTTATTACATCCAACTTTGCCACCAACGTCCAACTACGCTCTCGGGATCTAAGAAGTAAGAACACAAAGACACTAAGAGCACACGACCACGCCGCGGTCATTCCGGGACGGTAGCTCTCCAGAACACTGCTAACGAGACAAAGTAACGAGTCGTCATTCTCGTGACGCCCGAGGTCGTCGAGCCCTCCGAGGTCATCACGCCGGGCGAGGCCGTCACGGCGCTCCGTGAGCGGGAGATATGATCTCGGGGCGCTGCCACGGAGGCCATTGTCGTGTCACTGGCGTGACGCGGCGTCAGGAGCCCCGCACAGGGCGGTAGCCCGTGTGGTGGTGTACGGTGTGCTACGGCGAGTGATTGCTGGGTGCGGCTAATTGTGGGCTACGCTTTTGCGAAACTGCCAAGTTTGGCAGCCCAACTCGACCAAAGCGAAATACGCCTAGAACCATCCTGGTAACCTGTCAGACCGACTCAGGCAGACTCAAACTGACTCGACCGACTCAACCGACTCAAATCGATGCCGATCGACTCAGACATACTCAGAACGACTCAGACAGACTCAGGCAGACTCAAACAGACTCAGGCAGGCTCAAACCGACTCAGGCAGACTCGACCGATTCCGATCGGCTCAGACCGACTCAGATAGACTCAGAACGACTCAAACTGATTCAGACCGACTCAACCGACTCAAATCGTTTCCGATCGACTCTGACAGACTCAGGCGGACCCAGGCAGACTCAAACTGACTCGACCGACTCAAACCGATTCAGATCGACTCAGACCGACTCAGATCGACTCAAACTAACTCAGACCGACTCAACCGACTCAAATCGATTCAGATCGACTCAGACAGACTCAGAACGGCTCAGACAGACTCAGGCAGACTCAAAACGACTCAGGCAGAATCTAACTGACTCGACCGACTCAAACCGATTCAGATAGACTCAGATAGACTCAGAATGACTCAGACCGACTCAACCGACTCAAATCAATTCCGATCGACTCAGACAGACTCAGAACGACTCAGACATACTCAGGCAGACTCAAACCGACTCAGGCAGACTCAGAATGACTCGACCGACTCAATCCGATTCAGATCGACTCAGACCGACTCAATCTGACTCAGGCCGACTCAAGCGACTCAAATCGATTCCGATCGACTCAGACAGACTCAGAATGACTCAGACAGTCTGTGAGTCTGTCTGAGTCAATCGGAATCGATTTGAGTCGGTTGATTCGGTCTGAGTCAGTTTGAGAGTCGTTCTGAGTCTATCTGAGTCGGTCTGAGTCGATCTGAATCGGTTTGAGTCGGTCGAGTCAGTTTGAGCCTGCCTGAGTCGGTTTTAGTCTGCCTGAGTCCGCCTGAGCCTGTCTGAGTCGATCGGAATCGATTTGAGTCGGTTGAGTCGGCCAGAACGACTCAGACCGACTCAACCGACTCAAATCAATTCCGATCGACTCAGACAGACTCAGAACGACTCAGACAGACTCAGGCAGACTCAAACCGACTCAGGCAGACTCAAACCGACTCAGGCAGACTCAGAATGACTCGACCGACTCAAACAGATTCAGATCGACTTAGACCGACTCAGTCTGACTCAGACCGACTCAACCGACTCAAATCGATTCCGATCGACTCAGACAGACTCAGAACGACTCAGACAGTCTGTGAGTCCGTCTGAGTCGATCGGAATCGATTTGAGTCGGTTGATTCGGTCTGAGTCAGTTTGAGAGTCGTTCTGAGTCTATCTGAGTCGGTCTGAGTCGATGAAGTCAGTTTGAGTCTGCCTGAGTCGGTTTGAGTCTGCCTGAGTCCGCCTGAGTCTGTCTGAGTCGATCGGAATCTATTTGAGTCGGTTGAGTCGGTCTGCGTCAGTTTAAGTCCTTCTGAGTCTATCTGAGTCGGTCTGAGTCGATCTGAATCGGTTTAAGTCGGTCGAGTCAGTTTGAGTCTGCCTGAGTCGTTCCGAGTTTGTCTGAGTCGATTGGAATCGAATTGAGTCGATTGAGTCTGTCTGAGTCAGTTTGAGTCGTTCTGAGTCTATCTGAGTCGGTCTGAGTCGATCTGAATCGGTTTGAGTCGGTCGAGTCAGTTTGAGTCTGCCTGAGTCGGTTTGAGTCTATCTGAGTCTGTCTGAGTCATTTTCAGTCTGTCTGAGTCGATCGGAATCGATTTGAGTTGGTTGAGTCAGTCTGAGTCAGTTTGAGTCGTTCTGAATCTATCTGAGTCGGTCCAAGTCGATCTGAATCGGATTGAGTCGGTCGAGTCAGATTGAGTCTGCCTGAGTCGGTTTTAGTCTGCCTGAGTCGTTCTGAGTCTGTCTGAGTCGATCGGAATCGATTTGAGTTGGTTGAGTCTGTCTGAGTCAGTTTGAATCGTTCTGAGTCTATCTGAGTCGATCTGAATCGGTTTGAGTTGGTCGAGCCAGTTTGAGTCTGCTGAGTCGGTTTGAGTCTGCCTGAGTCGTTCTGAGTCTGCCTGAGTCGATAGGAATCGATTTGAGTCGGTTGAGTCGGTCTAAGTCAGTTTGAGTGGTTCTGAGTCTATCTGAGTCGGTCTGAGTTGGTACGTTATCTTCTCCTACCCGGTGACGTCACAGCATGCGTCGGCTTGGCACGGCCGCCACAGGTGGGGTGCGGCTAATGGTGGTATCTCGCTTTGGTCGAGTTGGGCTGCAACTTGGCGGTTTCGCAAAAGCGTAGCCCACAATTAGCCGCACCCAGTGATTGCTCTGGGACTGGCGGGAGTGGTGTGATGGGTGCGGTGGCCTCAGGATGTTACCTCGGGAGGAAGACGCCTGAGCTTTATTAAACCAGCCATGTCACTGCAATGTTTGATGGCTGAGTACTTGACTATGTGTGTGTATGCCAGTTCCATGTTTGAGAACGGAAGGCGAAGTTGAAACAAAGGAGCGGCGGTCCCGACAGGCACTGGCGG